GCGCGCCACCCCTCCCCCACAACCCCCCATTAATCCCCAAGAGAACAAACACCCCACGCGGCCCCCCCTCCCCCGTGCTCCGCGGAAGGATCTGCGTCTCTGCACAGGCCACCGGTGGGCCAATCCCCGCCCGCGCCGGGGAGGGGCCCCTTCCAGAGACAGTGTGCAGGGGAGCCTGGAATGCCAGGTCCGGGAGGGGCCAGCCCCCAAGGATGAAAGTCGCAACTTGCCCTGCCCCGCCCCACAGGCTTCGCGGGCAGGGTGCTGGGACTTGACCCACCTCCCCAGGTCAACATGTCACAACACGACCTCAGCCTGTGAAGTCACATGACCTCTGTCTGTCAACTGACAACCAGGCCAGGAGAAACCATCTGGTCCAACCCATGCCGACCCCATTTACAGGAGGGGAAACGGAGAGATGGAGCAGTCTGGCCAAGAACCTGTCATTGCAACCACCACCTAGCCCGGCCATCTAGTCACAGCCGGCCTTGTGACAGTTTCTAATTAGACAAACTCTAGCTGCCCCCATGAGGGTATGACTGGAAATCTAACAAGCCACCACATGGCCTCTGTTTTCCACTTAAAGGCACAAGAAAAATATCTTGCATTTTGTACGGTGCTTTTTGTTCAAGCCGCCCCCAAGTTCACAGTACTCTCGTTTTATCTTCACAATTCATTATCTTTAATTTACAAACAAGAACAGTCATGCACGTTAAGATTCAGTGGCCAGTTAAGGGTCAGGATCTCTGGACAAGTGAAGGACAGACAGCTGAGGTTCTCGACATCCCACGTCAGGGCAGTCATGCGCTCAACTGCACCCACATGTCCCCAACTCTACTGGAGGTCACAACCCCCGACACCTTGGAAGCAGGAGCTTGTGTCTCGCTCGCTCCTCACAGCAGTGGGGTGGGGGGTCACAGGACTTGCTGCCTGGCACTGTGAAAAGGGCGGATCTCAGTCTTGTGAAGAACACAAGAGAGCTGTGGCGTGCGGGGGTGGTGGTAGATAAGTGGAGAAACCGTTGGGAATCGTGTCCACAGGGCAGAAAATAGGAATTCTGGCATGTTGAGGGCTCAACAGAAACGTTACAAAGATAGTCAAGGGTGGTCTCTTGAGAGAAGCTGAAGATGACCACCAAAAAGATTCTAGTATAAGGGCCCCTTTCTTCGGGGAGAGTTGGGGGTCCTTCCAAAAGACAATCCTAGCAAGTGGATGGAGACTTTCAAAGGGGGATGGTTCAAAAAACCTAATGTGATGGCAGAGAAGCAAGAAAGATGCTTGACATCAAACGAGGGCTGTAACCGCCCTTGAGAAAGACAAGCGGCAGTGAGGCTCACACCCGCAGAACGGGCTACTGCAGTGTAAGGGCAGCCACGGTTGATAGCCGTTGGGGCCGTTGGATGCCCGGAGCCGGCGCCCCGCCCTCCCTCCGCTCCTCTCCTCTCCCTCCCCTCTCCGCCCCCGGCCCCCTGCACCTCCCACCACCCTCGTCCCCCGCGCGTGCGCGCACGGACACCGGTTGCCAAACATTGCATCATCCCCTCAGCCTCCCCACCTCCAAGACTCCCCTCCGCGCGCGCGCATGACTCACCCACCGCCTCCGCGAAGCCGCGTGACCCGAAGTCACTTCCGGGTCCGACACTACGTCGACCCCCAAGTGGGAGGGAACGCAGAGGGAGGTGCCACGATTGTCTCCTGAGTGGCGGAGGTAGGAGGCGAGGCGGGGCCAGTGCCAGCGTGCCGTTCTCTGATTGGTAAGTTTTTTAAATTCCGCCCCCAAGAGGAGGGCAAGGCCGTATTAAAAGATCCCTGCTCTTTGCTTTGCGTAGGTTAGAGGTTTGAGTCTGAGAGTTAGAGCAGATCATGTTGAAGATGAGCGGGTGGCAGCTGCAGAGTCAAAATCAGATCCGAAATCTGAGGAGAAAGGTGAGTACTGCCTTCCCACCCGATGCCTTCCTCGGAGGCTGACCTCTGACGGTGGGGCATCCGTCCTTCAGGATGTGGCCCCATCCCCGCCACACGAAGTTAGTGATCTTTTGAATTCCTGGTTCGGGAGGGCACTATCCCGCACCTCTCTGAACGCTATCACCCCACTCCTGTCCAGAACAGCCCTGTTGCGTGCGAAGGCAGGCCACTGATTGCCCGTGGGAGAGACACATTGTCATCGGTTGCTGACCCCAGGCCTCCAGCTTAGGCCTTTCCGTGGGAGGCGGGGCAGCTAGACCGCCCCCCCCCCCGCCCCCAGCACTTAGAAGGCTAGTTGACCTTGGCTCCTGCCTCTGCTCCCTCACCAGCGGCCTTAATTACCCCACCCTCATTCCCGGCCCAGCCCCGTCTTGGGGCCAGCTTAAGCTGTGTAGGTGCCTGAAACTCAGGGACCCTCCACGTTAAGAAAGTGTCGGGCAGAGGACTGCGGACAGTAAGGGAGAGGATGTAGGTTTTCCCTTCCCTGCAGAGGACTTTGGACGTCCTGTATTGGAGAGCCAGCAGCCTGGATCTCTTGAGTGTGGGAAGCCATTTGGGGGTCTCCCCAGTGTATTGCCCTTCCCCCGGGATTGACCGTTGCTTGTCCCTCTCTTTGTGTCTCCCAACCACTTCATCTGTAATGGTTGCATCAGGCTGGGCCCCCTGTTTGGCAGTGCAGCCCTCTGGCCTTGGGCTGTACTGCTGATGAAAGCCATGCCCCACGCACTGGAAGGCAGAGGGTTCCCCGGGGAAGACAGCCCTGCAGAGAAATATTCAGGGCGATATTGCATCTCCAGTCCTCAGGGACAGGCAAACTGTGGCTCTTCCTCTGGGTTCAGGCTGCCTCCTCTCCCCTCTAAGAGCCATGGATCCCTGGGTGGTGCAAACTCTTACCTTGTGCCTCTGCTAACTGAAGGACTGCAGGTTCCAGTGCACCTAGAGGTGACTCCAAAGACCTGGTGACCTACTTCTGAAAGATGGACTATTGAAAGTCTAACCTTATAGGGTCGCCATGAGCCGGAACCAACTGGATGGCAGCTGATTTATGATAGAGCTCAGAGGGGATTTCACTTCATTTTGATCTGGTTAATGCTGGTTCACAGAACTGGCTTGCCAGTCAGCACATGCTATGTGAGTGCAGTCCTACAATGTAACAAGCCCTCTCCCCCTTGACAATATCCATGTATATTGTAACACTAGTTACATTTATTACAATGTGGCAACATTATCTTTATGTTCCTTTCTTCCCTCTTCATTACTCAAGTGTACTTGGCCCTCCCCGCCCCACCCCCTTACCACTGCTTTTTTAATAATTGTTGCCTTCTTGGTCTCAGACTCACATGTTTTATGTAGGGCTCCCCTGTTCCATGTGGCACTCTTCCGCTTCCCAAAAAGGTGAATTGTGGGCATTGGCTTGGTTAAAAAGTATCTCCGGGAGTTATTCATTCACTCTTAATAAATACTAAACCTACACTGTGTCAGGCAGTTTGGGGCCCTGGGCCACCTCAGTACAAAATGCCTGCTCTCAGCTCACATTTTAATGGGAGACACATACCTAATTAGGGAGAATGCTTAAAGCAGGGCTGTTTCACAGTTGTCAGGGATTCACTAAGGTGACTTTTCCCAAAAATGGGTATTGACCTCCAACTCATTGGTGCCAATGTGACCCTGAATACCTCCGATTCCGTAAGGGATGAGCAAGGAGGCAGGGTGCTATGTAGTACCTGGGAGGTAGTGCTGTCCTAAAAGGTCAGGTAGGCTGGAGGCACAGGTGGTTTTTAGTGGGGAAGGCCAGTGGTTGGATGAGAGTGGAAGTAAGGGATAGAAGGGGTGTGGTGGGAAAGGAGGGGCAAAAGAGCAGCAGATGGAGGTGGGGCCTATAAACCATTTTAAAGCCAATGGCTGGATGAAATGGGAAGCCCTTGATGGGTTTGACAGGCCTGGGTTTAGGTTTCCAAAGGCTCACTCTGGCTGCTGTATTAAATAGGCGGGGAAGAGATGCCAAGAACTGAAATTGGGAAAGGGGAAAGGTGATGGTAACCCGACCTAAACTGCAAACAGTGGAAATGAGAAGTGTTCAGATTCTAAATTTTCTTAAGAGGTTTAAGAATTTTTTGCTGATGGTTTGGGGGGTTATAATAGAGGAATCAATAATGATAGCAAATTTTTTGGCTTAAGCAGCAGGGATTCTCATTTATTGAGATGAAGACCTTGGAAGGTCAGGAATCTGGCTATGAACATACTAAGTTTGATAGGCCCAGGAGACGCCCAGAAGCAGATGAGATGGCAAAGCAGGCGGTTGGCTAAGTGGGAAATTCCAGAAGAGGCCCAGACTAGAAGTGTACATTTGGAGGATGTCAGTGTGAGGATGGCGTTATGGAACTGTCCCTTGATTCGGTCCCTTCCCTATGGTCTAGTCTTAGTCTTTACCCCGGCAAGATTTAGGCCTCCTTGAATGTGGAGAAAGCGGGGTTGGCCAGAACTTTGCTATTAGGTAATCATGTCTACAAATGTCAGCCCCTAAAAATAAAAAGTCGGGATTCCCTTTGTCCTTGGAAATGACTGTAGGAACCATGTGCTCTCCAGATCCACTCCCATGCCTTTACGACCAGGAGGGAGGCGGGACAAACAGGAAGCAGAAGAAAATGAAAACAGCCAGCTCTCCACCTAGTGCTGGCTAACCCTTCTCCTTGTTTCCCCAGTGTTCCAGGAGGAAGTGTATCTTCATACATCACCACACCTGAAAGCAGGTAACCTGAACCAACTTTCCCTGGGAATGCTATTTAGTCTTTCTTTGCTGAGAAGTTGTGGGTAGAAAAGGTGGCAGGGGAAGGGTTGGATTCCGAGCAACCTTTTGTTGTCAGGCCATGTCAACCTCCAAGGTTGACAAAATCATTAGACTCGTAGATCACACCCCAGGTGGAAGCTGGGCAGTCAGTGAGCAGTCAGCTCCCACCAGGTCAGTGGGTTTGTCTTACCAAGCCTCAGTTCTTACCAAGATTAGATTGGCCCTGAGGGCTGTCTGCCCAAGCACAGTGACCACACAGAAGGAGCTCAAACAGCCTAGTAACTGCTCCTGGCAACAACTCCACTGGGGTGTCCCAGGGAAGTAGAGAGCTCTTTGGATCCCCTAAAAAATTATGTCCAGGTATGCTGTATCTTCACATGCTGGGTCAAAACAAAGGAATACTAGTACAGACCCGGGGTGGGGGGTGGGGGGCATGTTTTAAAGGGTCAAGATAGTATTTTAGTGCACCATGTAGCTTCGGTCATGACTCTGCAGGAATAGTGTTAATAAGTGGCCATTGGCCATGTCCCAATAAAATTTTACATACAAAACACAGGAGACCATAGTTTGTAAACTGCTCGGCAGGTATTGGTCCACCTACTGCCACGCTGAACAATGTACTTTTCCAGATCCTGCTCCAGCTGCAGAGATGGAAGCTGAGTCGATGCCTTTCCCCTTTGGGACACTGCCCAGCTGGGAGCTGGAGGCCTGGTATGAGGACCTGCAGGAGGTCCTGTCCTCAGATGAAAATGGGGGGACCTATGTCTCACCTCCTGGAAACGAGGAGGTAAGGAGGCTAGGCCTAAAGCTAGCGAGGAGACATTAACCCTTCCCCTTCTCAACTAACAGCAACTTTACCTTTCCCGATTCCCTTGAAGGAAGCATCCAAAACCTTCACCACTCTTGACCCTGCCTCTCTGGCTTGGCTGACTGAAGAGCCGGGACCAACAGAGGTCACAAGCACCTCCCAGAGCCCTCAGTCTCCAGAGTCCAGCCAGAGCTCCCTGGCTCAGGAAGAGGAAGATGAAGACCCCAAAAGACCCAGGAAACGGAAGCAGAGTGGCCAGTTCCCAGCTCGGGCTGGGAAGCACCGCACAAAGGAGAAAGAACAAGAGAACGAGAAGAAAGTGGCTCAGCTTGCTGAAGAGAATGAACGGCTCAAGCAGGAAATTGAGCGCCTGACCAGGGAAGTAGAGGCAACTCGCCGAGCTCTGATTGACCGGATGGTTAACCTACAACAAACATGAACATCTGGGACCATCACTTCCCCACAGTGGCTACTGACCACTTCTCACTCGTGCCAACGTGACCCGAACACCTCGTACTCAATCCAGGGAAGGGTTTGGGTAGACAAAAAGAAGGGGTCTCAGCTTTGTAAATAGAGATTGTACATTTATTTATTACTCTCCAGATCCATTAAAGTGAACCATGTTCTCTCACTTTTTCTTCTTGCCTTTTGGGGGATCAAGGGGTTTCCCCTCCGCTAGAGCCAACTGCTTTTTTAGCTCCAAAAGTTTAGCTACCTCTGCAGCCACCTGGTTCTTGTCGGCCTTTTGCGCTTTCAGTTCTCGCACAATGTTGCCCTTAAGGAATTGGGTGGAGAATCAACAATGAGGTCAGGCTAGGAAAGGGCAGGCCCGGTCGTCTATTCCTGGCTCCCCAGTCCCTCCAGGGCTTCAGCTTCCTACCTGCTTTGTCACTTCATCCACCAGCACCTGTAGCTGCTGTGGCCCGGCTGTTGGAACAGTCTCTACAACTGCTGGCTTTGGGGTGGCTTTTGCCTAAAGAAGAGCAAGAGTGGTAAGGACCCCGACCTCAAACATTCCCCCCTTTTCCTACCACAGCTCAGAGAGCGATTACCTTGAGCTCCAAAGACTCCTCTAGCTAAGACAAGAAAGAGATGCTATTAGGTGAGGAAACAGCAGTGAGGCCAAAGATGGAGGGAGTGATGAGGGAGGGCTACTTAGCCACTAAGGAGATGGTGCTGGCCGAGAGCTGGCTCGGTCCTTCGTATTCTCACCTGGCCCCCTCCAAAGCGCTGCTTCAAACTTTCAATCTGGTCGTTTTCCAGTTTTTGGAACAAGGGGCTTATCTGTGGGAGGGGGAGAAGAATCCCAAGTCACTCACCCATTAGGTATCAACCCTACAAAGCTAGAGAAAGGCCCTCTCCAAACCCAATGGCCAACATTTCAAGAACCAACAGAGTCAGAAGAAAGTACTAAGCGAATGCTTGTAGGTTGCAGGAGACGTGGAAACAGCACTGCCATGGGATGAAAATCCAGAGTATGATGGTAAGGCTTCCCAGAAGTTGTAGGGCTATCCTGATTTCCACATCATCCCCTGGCACAGGAAGGAGCTACCCTGGGTTCTCCTTGCCAGTTAGCATCATAGAGGCCACGTGACCACAGTGATCCTTCAAACAGCTTCTGTATGGCTCTGGGGACACGGGTGGGCAGAGATGCTTTCCAAACATCTACTCCCCACTTGTTTGTGCCCGGTACTGGGTTCCAGGCTGCTAAGCAAAGAGAACGGGACTTCTGAACCAATTCCAAAGTATGCCCAGGCACAGGCAGAGTGGGGAGTGGAGAGGTTCCAAGAAGAGGGTCAGAGCCCCAAGTTGGGGAGACTGTCAGCTCTCAGACCCCACTCCAAAGGCTGGATGGCAAAGCTCGGCATTTTAGGAGATGGTGGCCCTTCCAACTCGTAGGGACCTACAGTGCCAATCTGGTGTCCTGCCCGCAAGATGCAAAGGAAGGCTGGGGGCAGAAAGCTGCAAGCTGGAGGTGGGAGCTGCAGTTGGGACTGGATGGTGGCGCTGACCGTCGGCATGTACGGCTGGATCATGATGGACAGCAAGGCAGCTATGTTTACTGCCAAGCCTGTCACTGTGCCTGCCCGTTGCCTGGGAGGAAGGAGAGCAGCTCATCAGAACTTCCAGGACACAGATATGGGGCCCTTACCAGCCCTGCCCATTACCTACCGGTCAGCCTCGTTGCCTTTGATCCGCTTCCAGGGCTCATTCACCTGAATGTACTGGTTGCCATGGCGAGATATGGTGAGGATGCTGCGTAAGGCATCCCGAATCCTGGGAAGGGAGAGGGCAGGCCCAGGTGTGTGAGACTCTATTTGCCAGCAGACCAGGGATGTGGGGCACAGGACTAGTCCAGGTTATTTACCTCGCCTTCTCCAGAAGCTGGTGATAGTGCCGGACCTCCAGAGTGATGTGGGCCACCAGGCGCCGATCATCTGAGGTAAGCACCATCTCTGGCACAGCGCCCCCAAAAAACTTCGACACAAACATGCCAGCTCTTGGTGGTCAGGAAGAACAGAAGCAAAATTCATGTCTTAGTTTCCACCATTCTGCACCGTCTCCAGATTCCTGCCTGAAGGACTCACTCCTCCAGGCTCCCCACTCGCTGGAGGCTGAGAGTCACTCCTCGGTCCCCAAAGAAAATGACTCCATACATAAGCAGACATCTCGCACAGAGCTATCCTTTTTACTTAAAGAAACTGTCCGTTGTATTGTTCAGTCAGTGCTCAGACGATCGAGATGAATACATTGAGCATGCATTCTATCAAATGAAACTTCCAGTGCAGTCTGTGGTTACTGGCCACGGCTGAAAGGGTGGCTGGTGGGCTCCACTAAAGGCCTGAGACACAAAGGGAAGGACCAAAACTCGTGAACTACAGAAGCTATTTATTCAGAGTGGCTGAGCCGGAGGGCGGCAGAACCCGCCTGCCCCTACATCACAATAATCCTCCTGCAGCTTCACTGAAGGAGCCCTGATGGTACCGTGGCTTATGAGCTGGGCTGCTCATCGCAAGGCCAGCAGTTCGAAACCACCAGCTGTTCCCCAGGAGAAACACGAGGCTTGCTACTCTGGGAAAGAGTTGTCTCAGGATCCCACAGGGGCAGTTCTACCCTGTCCTATAGGGTTACCTCTGAGTTGGAGTCAGATGCGATGTGTTGGCAATGAGGTTTGGTTTTTTGGGGTTTTTTTTGGTCACCCTAGCTTGTCAGCAGTCTACAGGTGGACTTTGTTGCTAGGAGACGGCACAGCACGGGGCTCAATCACATCGTCCGTGCATGCCATGGACGTTCTAGTGGACAGAACGCAATCTTCCACAATGCCTTCCCTAGCCCGCCTGCACACGGAGCTCTCCCTGCGCCCCGCCCCCAGGAGCTGAAGAGAACCTCTGCAGATTCTGACCCTCTGGCCGAGTTCTTTGTACCTGTTGATGAAGTTGCCCAGGTTGTTAAGCAGCTCAGAATTATTCTTGAGTAGCATGTCTGTCCAGGAGAAAGCACTGTCCTGGCCTTCGGGCCGTATGTAAAGCAGGTAGAAGCGCCAAATGTCGGCAGGGATTCCTGTGTCCTGGGCCATGTCTCCAAACACGCCCACACCCCGGCTCTTGGAGAATTTCCCATCCTCGTAGTTCAGGTACTCTGGATCGAGGAGGAGGAGAATCACCTGCTCAAGCCCCAGCCTTCCCTTCCGGACCCACCAGCTCCTTTCTTCTTCCTCAGCCAACTAGGGGGCCACTTCTCCTTGAGGAGCTGGCCTGTGCTCACGTCCCCTCCATTCTACCCTCTCCCCCTCACTGTACCTGTTAAATCATCAAATTTTAGCTTTAAATCTTTTGCTTTCTTCAGGTTCCTATTCCCCCTTTTTACCGGATTGGGTTCTCAGCCTCTTATTTCCTGTTTTATCTCAGCTCCCATTTGAAGGGCTAGCACCTCTCCTTCCAAACCCCCCCAGAGCTCATCCCTCAGGAGCATCTCCATCACCACTCTCCCACCATCACCTGTCGCAATTAGGTGGCTGACCAAGGTGTAGTTCTCATCAGTTCCTAGAGCTGAGCAAGGAAAGACTAAGCCGTGGAAGGGAACATTATCTTTGGCCATGAACTGATACAGGTCCACCTACAGGAATAGATGCACAGGGAGAAAGATCTCCTGTGACCTCCTTCAAAGACTCAAAACAGACCAAACAGCCAGCCCTCATCCCCCAGCACGCCCCTCCCGCTGCCCAAGAACCGCTCACCTGCTCTGGGTTCTTCCACCATCTTTCCCACTGGTCTGTGTAGTTGGCTGTGATGGACAGGTAGCCAATAGTGGCATCAAACCAGACGTAGAACACCTGGATGTCCAGGACAAGATGGCAGGATGACAGAGCACAGGAAGAACTCACCAACCACCGTCTCAGAGTGACCGAAGTCATAGGCAACAACAGTTTATTCTGCTAGCCCAGGGTCTAAACCCCAACGTTGAATCCTCTGGGCTCTAAGTAAAGGTTAGAAGCGTTTTACCTTATCCTCGAATCCTTTTAAGGGGACAGGGGTTCCCCATTTGAGGTCCCGTGTTATGCAGCGTGGCTTGAGGCCATCCCGAAGCCAGGACCGAATGATGAACCGGGCGTTGGGGGTCCAGTCGCTGCCAGGCAGCACCTTCCCCAACCACTTCTCCAGTCGGCTTTCTAGCTGGGTGGGCAGAGAGGGCGACTCAGTCCCACACATGCTTTGCACAGGGTAAGTAGGTTCGACTTTAATGCAGTATAGTTTGGCAATATATGTAGCATTAAAAACTTTAAATTCATGCACTTTGACTCAACAATTTTAAAGTATTCATAAAAGCATTCAACAGGAACAGACAATAGTGTAGCAATGTAGAGTGCACTATTTGTCAGTGCAAGAAGATGATAGAAACTCATGGTCAGGAAGAGGAAAGCAATAGGCTAGGTCAAGACAACGAAATGTTCATAAAGTGATCCGACAGAAGGAGACAGACATATATATATATATAGTAACATGGGGAAAAACCTCGGTGCTCATTACTAGGGACATGAAGCAACATGTAAAACAGTAGCACGTGATACAGTGAAATCCTCATACAAATAAAACAACATCCAGGTTAATAACCCAACCAAATTGACTGGAGTAGGTTCAGCTGGATTATCAGACTCAGTTCTGACTCATGCGACGCCGTGACAGGGTTGATGGAAGGGGCCTGGGTGCACAGTGGTGAAGCACTCAGCTGCTAAGCCGAAGGTCAGCGGTTTGAGCCCATCAGCAGCACCCCAGAAGAACTATGGGCAAGTCTACCTTTGTAGATAAAAGTCCCAGTCACTCCACAGTGCAACCCCAGAAGAAGTACGTGGACAAGTTGACTTTGTAGAGCCAAGCCCCAGCCACGCCCAGTGCAATTCTACTTGGCCCTCTGGGGCGCCTAAGAATGGGCATCGATTTGACAGCAATGAGCTTGCTTTGGGGATTTTCTGAGGGGAACATTACAAAAGCCTTCCACTAGGCCTCCCATCCACAAAACGGCTGAGATTAGCAGCTGAATGCACTCACAAACCTACACTGGTTAAGATGAGGAAACTTCCCAAAGTTTGTGGAAAAAGAGAATTAGAAGTAATTGCATTTCCAGCCACCTTCTGAAGCACTGACTCCTCATCAACTGCCTCGTTCTCTGACAGCTGGTACTTACAGTTTATATTTGCGCCTGGCTGGGCAGAGGGCGCTGAAGGGGCTGCCCAGGAGAGGCCAAGGAAAGGTCTACTTACCTTAGGCAAGTCCAGGAACAGGTGTTGGGAGGTTCTCACCACAGGACACGATCGACAAACTTTACACTGAGGCTTCTGTGAAGGCAGAAGCAAGAGACAGGGTGGACCCATCAGGACCAGGGCTGTGCTCCCCCTTCCCCCCCGGAAGCTTACCGGGAAGGGGGTAGATAAAGGGATGAGCCCCCTGGTTTGCCCTGTCCTTAACTTCATGCCCACACACAGCCGTCCTCAGTGCTGGAGCCTTCCCGGCAGTGAACTTGCAGGCACAAGTCTGCACTAACAGCATGTGCTCCTCAGTTCCACATCTCTAGCCTCCTACTCTGAAGACTCAAAGGCATTCTCAGCCTGAGCTCGGTTCAGACCTTCCCTGCACTGGCTGTGTGAGGGAAGGAGGCGGCCAGTGTCTGCCGTTGAGGAAAGTACCATCAGGTTAGGGAGAGGGCACCAGGTGAATAAGCGCAGGCCTGACAGGACAAAGGTCAAGGAATCCTGGCCCTGGACGAGACACACTAAAGAGGTAAGGCTAAGGGAGGACAGTTAAGTGGGGCTCATCAAAAGTTTCCAAGTGAGTGTTGATCTGGTTTCTGAAGGTGAAAAATTTAGAACACTTCTCCGGACCCCTCTCTTGTCCACCATGTGCCCACCACCTCCCACCTCCTGCTAAACTGTGAACGTTGATTGAGCACCTCAGACTTAAAGCCTAACCACAGCTCTACCCTTGGGCTAAAAGCTTGTTCTTCTCCACGTCTTCCCTGGTTTCGTGAACACTATGATTATTGGCTTGGCTGCTCCAAGTCCAAAGTTTGGAATTTAATCTCTTCCAACTTTCAGTCCATCCTGCTCGATCATCTTACCTCCAAAATCTCTCTCAAACCTACCCCACGCCCCAGCCCCCATATCTACTGCTAATAGCCCATCTGAGCCTCCACTGCCCCACTTCTGGACACCCCCTTCTCCATACAAATCACACACTCACTAGGAATCGGGGTTTGTTTGTTTTGCCAACAGCACAACCTCCTCACACATTAGCGTTCTATGCATGCAACATGCATTATGTGGAGGGTGTGTGTGTGTGTGTGTATCAACTATGCTACTACTCTAGCCTCCAAACTGGTGTCCACACCTTTTCTCAGGCGTTCCTCCCTCCATTCCCCACAAAGCAGCCTGCCATTCAGCTACAAATTCAGAACTCCCTTCAATGGCTTGCAAGGCTCCAGTATCCTCTCTCAGGCTCCCACTGCAATCCACCCACTGGCCTTCTTCACAATTCAAACGTTTCTGCTCTTTGCTGCCTCAGGGCCTTTGCATTTCCTGGTCCTTCAGCATAGTGCACTGGACCCCACTCCCTCTGCAGCTGGCTGGTTCCTGCTCTTTCTTCAGCTGAACTCTCGGTCAAATGATATGTTCTCAGAGGCCATCCCATAGTCACCTAACTTAAACTCTCTCTTCCTACAGACACCATTCCGTATGGCCGGAGGGTCTGTAATTATAGTCTTCTGTATTTTTTTAATGGCGATCATCCCTTCCCCTCACTAGCTAAATCCCTGCCCTACTCATTGTGATAGCCCAGCATCTAGAACTGTGACTGGCCTATTGTAGGGCTGTTGAATCAATCAGTAAGTGGCTAATCATGACTACCAGACGAAAGGGCATTTGTGGAGGAGAAGAGTCTAAACAGGCAGATCAGGTGGTCTGGAGCAGGAGCAAGGGTAGGGAACTGGAAATTCTACTTGTCCATTTCCTAGCTGAGGCTGAACACCCAGCATGCACAGTAGTATGTGTCAAAGGAACTGAAGGATGCGTTGGTACAACGGGCAAAGAAGACCACTGGTGAAGTCTTAGATGCTAAAATGAAAACCAACCCTGAATGGGATAAGCCTGGGAGTCCCTTGAGAGTAGGAATTGTTTCCTTCCAGGATCCCATGATGCTCTCCTCTCACCTTGAGCTCAATGGCATTGATGAGCTTCCCACACTTGTCACACTGGTCACCACGGGCCTCCTCATAGCCACAGAAAGGACAGACCCCCTCCACAAAGCGGTCAGCCAGAAAGCGGGCACAGCGTTCACATCGCAGTTGCTCCACAGTATCTTGTAGCACGAAACCTCGAGCCCACAGCCGCTGGAAGATGTCCTGGGTGATTCTGGTGAGGTGAGTGGGGAGCCATTGAGTGGCAGCTCAGAGGAAATGGTAAGCCCCAGCCTCCAAGCGCTCCACGCAACGACTCCACTCATCTAGGCGGTGCTCTGCTCTGCAGAAATCAGGCCGGGGGCCCTGACACAGAAGCTATCCTCAGGTCTGCAGGGAACATTCCTGGATGAGCCCAAGCCCTCCTCCCATTCCCCAACTGCCTGAACCATCTCTTCCCTCAACACTTGGGAATGTGTTTCTGCTGGAACTCCACTCTACCTGCCTTCTACTCAACATTAACCAAAATGTCCAAAAGGGTAGCACTGTCTGTTCTTGAACATGCCATCCCATTTAAAATCCATCAGACCAGCTTCTGAAGAGCAGAGTAGTGTCAGCTGGCTGACTCCCCACCAGGTCGCGTTGTTATAAGGATAGGTATTATAAAGAATTAGAATGAAGAGGATTCTAAAAGCTCATAGAAAATAAGTTTTATGAAAAATTATGCCCCATCCCACCCCAGAGGGATGATCAACAGAAATGTAGGTGAAGAGAGACAGCAGACAGTGTAAGATATGAAAATAACAATTTATGATTTATCAGGGATCCATGAAGGTGGGATGGTGGGAGAGGGAGGGAAAAAGAGGAGCTAACACCAAGGGCTCACACAGAGAAAAACACTTTGAAAATGATAATGGCAACATATGTACAGATGTGTTTGATGTAATTGGTGTATAGATTGTTGTAAGTGCTGTAAGTGTCCCCAATAAAGTGATTAATAAAAAGAAAAATGATGCATGGATTTCAGCATTTTTTCATACCAAATTAAGCTCATATTAGTGATCACATGTCTGAAGAGATATAGTTTGAGTGACAGTTTGAAAAAAGCCTTTATCAGAGCAATATGAACTCTGTTGAAATTGAAGCAAAAACAAATAGCAAATTCATAGGGAAGAATAATGAAATCACTGATGCTTTATGCAGTTTATGGGAATAATACCCAAAGAAATCAGTAGTTGACAAAGGGACGAGCTGCTACTGACAATGAAGCCCACAGCAGCCCACCAGCCAAGTCAACTTGCCGGGAAGCAATCTTGGCAGTGCCTGGATTAAAGAGGACAAATGATCATCAGCAGAAACAATAGCCAACACCACAGACATCTCAATTGGTTCAATGTACACAATTCTAACTGAAAAATTAAAACTGACCGATCTCTATGCTTGATGTTATGCTACAAGCAAGAACAGAGCCTTCAATGAACTCTCAAAGCAAGGAAGAGCAAGATCTTGCAGCATTTCTTAGAACCATGGTCACAGGAGCTGAAGCGGTTGAAGACGAAGCATGGTGAATGTAATGGCTACCGAGAGGTAGGAGGGGTTCAGGCAAAGTAAAAGTGTCTAGAGCGAAGGTCAAGGAAACCATTTTTGGTACGCTCAAGGCACTTGGCTTGACTTCCTGAAGTGCCAAAGAGTACCAGCTGCTTCTTATGAGCATTTTGAGAAAGTTAGCCAGAGCTTCAGTCTTGTGAAACACCCAGGGAGTGTTTACCAGAGCCCTGTGCCATGACACTACATTCCAATCATTCACTCAAGCGAGGCCAATTTTGACAGTTTCAATGAGAAAGCAGCCACCTTACAGCCCTGATCTGGCGCTTTCGGACTTCTTTTTGTTTCCTAACCTTAAAAACTTTTTAAAGGCAGTTAGTGTGAAAGAGATGATACTGACATAGCTCAATTCCCAAGATCCTCAGTTCTTCAGGGATGGACTAAATGGCTGATTTCACTCTTTACGACTGTCTTAACCTTGATAGAGCTTATGTTAAGGAAATGATATTTTAAATGTTTTACTTTTATCATTTTATTAGGGGCTCATACAACTCATCACAATCCATACATACATCAATTGTGTAAAGCACATTTGTACATTCATTGCCTTCATCATTCTCAAAACATTTGCTCTCCACTTAAGCCCCTGGCATCAGGTCCTCATTTTTCCCCCTCCCTCCCTGCTCCCCACTCCCTCATGAACCCTTAATAATTTATAAATTATTATTTTGTCATAGCTTGCCCTGTCCGATGTCTCCCTTCACCCACTTTTCTGTCATCCCCACCCCCACCCCAGGGAGGAGGTCACATGTAGATCCTTGTCATCGGTTCCCCCTTTCCAACCCACCGGCCCTCTACCCTCCCAATAAAATGTTTTATCTTTTAATTACACTTTTCTGCAAACTTTTTGAAGCCCCCTCGTGTTAATTAAAAATGAACGGGAGGCTTGGGAGGGAATGTTTTAAGACCTTGTGGCAGACAGGGAGGAGAGAGGTAGGCAGTAGAGATAGAAGCCTCTCATAAGCCTAATTCCTGGTTGGCTTCCACACACAAAGGATCTACTTGTCTGGAACTCGCATCAGGATCACATTCACATCCTAAGTATAAGAGAGGAGCCCCTGGGTGGTGCAAGCAGCTGCCAACCGAAAGGCTGATGGTGCACAACCACTCCGATGCACTTTGGCAGAAAGGTCAGGCTAACAGCTTGTGATAAACCAGCCAGTAAAAGCTCTATTAGAAAGCCCTATGGAGTGCACAGCTATTCTGAAACACATGGGGTTGCCATGAATGGGATTCAATTTGAAGGTAGCTGATACGTTTAAGGGAGGTTCCTTGATGGTCACCCTTGCTCCTACCAGGCTATTCTCAATGCCCCAGTCCCAGCCAGCACCCCCACTGATGCCTCTCGCGCCACAGGACACCTACTTGGTTTGCTGTGGAGTAGTGGTGCGACCAAAAATATCAAAGGAGATGTTGAACCAGCGGTAGATGTTTGCATGGATGGCATGGTACTTGTCACAGATCTCTTGGGGGGTTAGGCCCTCCTCCATCGCCTTGGTCTCTGTCGCTGTCCCATACTCATCTGTCCCACACAGGTAGAGCGTGTTCCACTGGCGGAGGCGTGAGTACCTGAGAAGGAATTTGGTAGTCAACAGGAATGGGGGGGCCCATCCCAGCTGCCCCCTGGTCCCCAGGAGCCTTCCAGCTCCGACCCTCAACGATCTGTGTCCTCAGGGCCCACCCAACCTCCTGGCAGTGGGTACCACCTGGCAAAGACATCAGCACTGAGCACACAACCAATGATGTTCCCCAGATGCGGGACGTTGTTGACGTAAGGAAGGGCGCTGGTGATGAGCACGTTCTTCTCTCCCGCCACAGGCAACCTGGTCAGGGAGGCAAAGGGAAAAGGAGCAATGGGGAAGATGCCAGAGCCAAGACAGCGCCCGGACAACCCAACACAGGTCTGTTCTCCAGCCACAGGGTCATGTGCAGTCCCGAAGTATTCTGAAGTCTTTCCCAGGGGCCCAAGCGATTCCCCACAGGTCCATAAGCAGAGACTGGCCCACAGCGAGCAAGCCTCATCTCCTGCTACCAAGAACCTCATTCCAACATGGATCTGTCTCCCACCTCACAGTCGCACCTGCTTTGTTTCCCTGTGGGGGTAAGGCCAACCCCCCACAATTAATCACAGGCTCAATTGTACGGTTGATATTTATATATTATAATAAAGTCATTGAGAGCATGAGAAATACAAGAGATTGAAATAATGGAGTCAGACACTTTTCATGGTGGCATGCGCACCTCAGCCCTGCCTGGTGGCCCACGTGGAGAGAGGGGGAAGGGAAGGAGGACAAGGGGAAAGGGAACAGAGGAGTGAGGAGGAGAGGAGGGAGAGCCGACAAGAGGCCAAGGAGGGAGCCCAAGAGAGCTCTTTATTGCTAACCCAGACCTATATACTTTGGGGGGAGTACAAGCCCCCTAATTACAGGTAAAGACATACGTCACAGGAAGGGGTTGTACTATAGGTATACATCAATGAGAGGGCAATCTAGGGATATACACACAATAGGAAGAGGAGGGATTGGGGCTACACATGTGACAAGATGGGCGGATCCTAAATTCAGGATGGCGGCCTAACTTATTATGCCACTGAGGTTTGACCTGTTCTCTGGATCTCCATAGAAACCATTATCAGTAGGGTATAAACCCCACCTACAGGGATCAGACTAAGGGTCCCAAGCCTTTAGGGAGTAGCCCATTGTCCTTAACAGCAGGGAGCAGGGCCTACCTGTGGTGGGAGCAGTCTGGCAAATGACTACCTTCAGGGAGGATGTCTCTAAGCATCTGACCTCCCACCATATGCTGGCAAATAGCCTCTGATGTTTGGCAAGTCTTTGGGGGAAACAAAGCTGGGGAAGTCTCTTTATAATCCCACATTTCTCATTAGCTCACTTTTGGGCTCAGACTGCCTGAGCCTAAGTGGGGGCAGACTTTCCAAGTCGCCAACACACGCTACTCCTGGGTCTCCAAAGTCCAAGAGTGCTTGCCCAGTGCTGCCCTAGGCCCTGGGAGAGCATTCCCTCCAGCCACTGTCAGGAGCCCTCACAGCTCGGTTGACAGGTGTTAACAGTTCCTTCTGTGCTTCTTTCAGTTGGTCTCCCCTCATACCACGTCTGGGATGTCTTCCTGGCCTCACCCACTTCAGCAGGCATCAATTCCACAGCCACCTCTCTACCCCGCCCACCCCAATACCCTACTACGCTCCTCCCTAGTCCTGCCATGCACTTGCTATCTGAAGTCACTCAGTACTTCTTGGGGCTCCAGTCCAGCCCAGCCACACACAGGCTGCACCCACCCTCACCTGCTTAGCACTGTCACCACTCCAGGGTTCCTTTCATCTTGCTGACCCTTCTCAGCCATTCTCACCGCTCCATCACCTACCATGCCCCTCCACCGTGAGAGGTCACTGATCCCCCCCAATTAGCTGCTGCAGCCACTTCCTGGAATGTCCACAGCTGCCTCGCCCAGAAATGTGATCTCACTCACGTCTGCATTCATTGGCTTTTCTCCCCCTAACTGAGCACCGTAGCTTCCACATCAGAAACCAAGCCTGTGTCCACTCACACTGGTTTTTCCTGGGGCCGCAGTGGGGGCAAGCTTTCCAAGCCCTTCTCCCACGCAGTGACAGCTGCAGCAATCTCCTCCTCAGACAGGGTAGCCAGTTCCTCCTCCTATGAAGAATGGACAGAATCCCTGATCAGGTGGTGGAAGCCCTCCCCTGTTCTCAAGGAACTGACTGTAGGTAGTGGCCATGCTCAAAGCCCCGCCCTCCTCCAGCGTCAGGCTCTGTCTCTGAGGAGCGTGCTGCTCTGTTCCAGACCTCAGGCTCATTGCTGACAGCACCGTCCTGAAGCGGCTTGGGCAGGGGCTGCTTCTGCAGGTAGGGCCGGAGGGCCAGGGCACCCTGCTGCTTCAGCACAGTCTCTGCAGCTCGCTGACAAGGTTCCTGGGTGCTCAATGCCTGGAACCAGCTGCGCAAGGCACCCAGCTCCTCTGTGGGCAGGGCAGAAAAGGACGTCAGTGAGTACAGGGGGTACTCAGAATGGGTAGGAAGGCATCAACCCCCTGTGCTTCTTCACCAGTTCCTCTAGTTGCCTTTCCGAGTTCCTCTACCAAGCTGCCTCCCAGAGAGAACTCAGTACCCTGCTGCCACGCCGTGACTCCCAACATGGAGCTCCTGGGCCGGCTCGGGAGTGCCAAGATAATGCGCAGTACTCACCAGGAAGGTAGGCGGGGTCTTGGAGTAAGGGGTACAGCGCTCCCCATAAAACAATGTCAGCTAGCGATTCTGCCTCCTTGATTGGGGGAAGAAAAGGTACACAGGTAGGACAAAATATTCCCAAAGACAATAATAAGCAACAAGCTCTAGGTGTCAAGCACTGGGCTAGATACTTGACCTGGTCTCACAGAATTGGGTCACAACCCAATGAGGCGGGCACTAAGGGAAGTAACATCGAGGACCACAGAGGCTAAGGCATTTATCAGGGTTACCAAGTGGGGACTTTTTGGCATTTGAACACTCTGGATACAGCCTCTCCTCTTAACCTTTATGTCAGACAGCCTTCCCCACTCCCCACTGCCCCCCAAAGCCCGATTTCAAGGTCCAACTCACCCCAGTCAGAAAAGGACAGCTCTGTCGACTCAAGCTGTGGTCAATGTGAGTCAAGGCTCTCCGCATGAGGCCAAGAACATCTTCTCCCTTCTTCCCTTGAACCACTAAATAGTGCAGGGCAGCAGACAAAGCTGGCTAAAATGTAGGGGACACAGGTCAGGAGGGCCCTGGAAAGCCTGCCACCCAACCGCCCACCCCGTGACTCATTCCCACCTGCAGCTCCACCGCTTCCCATTCCAGCCACTGGTCGGTGAGGTCATCTTGTTCCCAGCCAGATAACAGAAAGAAATATCTGCTCAAGGAGCCACAAAAATTGCAATTGGAGGGACCCGTTTGGCCAGCTTACATCAGGATCATCTCTTTTTACCCCCCAGTCATGCAGCTGTTGCTACGAAGGCCACACACAGGACAGTCAGCCCCCTCCCTGAGCCGGTAGGTCAGTCCACAAAAACACTGACCGGCAGATCGCACTGGTGGAGAAGAGGTAGTTGCCACTATCCAGCTGCAAGACAGGAACCCGAGGCCTGGTCAGGAACGGGACCACACGCTCTAACACAGGAGAGGGGGAAAAGGCGGGCGAGTAAATGCTGTGTGGACTTAGGATCATTTCACATTGTTCACGGTAAACCGAATGGGCAGCCTCAACCCGGGAGGTTGCAGGATGGGACCAGTGAAAGGGGGTGGGCTTAGAATGAGCTGGAAAAGCCAGCAGGTGTTCAGCTGAGGGTGGCAGCTGGAAACAACAGATGGGGACTGCAGGGAGGAGGGGTGACACTGGGACAGGGGTGCAGCCAAGAAGTGGTCCAGCTGGGCACAATGAGGCTATCTTACACATGACCTAAGAGTGGGAGAACGAAACTACAGGGCTGACAAAAAGAAGCTCTTCAGAGCTGTCGGACAAAAAGAGAAGAGGTAAGTCCGAAAGCGTGTGTAACCCGTTTAGGGACAGAGAGGAAGTTCCTAAGAACAGCAAAAGGGGGCCCGGGTGGGTTGGGCATGCTACCGACTAATGCTTGAAAGGAGGTCCTGGCAGGTAAGGGAAAAGGCTGGGAAGGGGAGCAGGGGGTCACCGGAAGATGAAAGTTGGAGGAGAACCCACTGTGGAAGTCAATTCCGACTTACAGCGACTACACATAGGGTCTCAGAAGCTGTAAATCTTTTCAGGGGCGGACAGCCTCATGTTTCAATGGTGGTGGGGAGACCGGGGGTGGGGGTGGGGGTTTGAATCGCCAACCTTGCGGTTAGCAGTCCAACGCTTACCGATAGCGCCACCAGAGCGAAGAGTAATTAGGGGGATGACTGATTCCCTGGTGACGCAGCACTTAAAGCACTCAGCTGCTAAACAAATCAAGGATTCGAATTCCGCAGCTGAGGTCGGGCAAAAGATTACATACGACAGATGTGCTTGACACGATGGATGGATGGAGATAAGAGTTGTACGAGCCCCCAGTGAAATGATTTTTTTTTAAGTTACAATCTTGAAACCCTACGAGGCCGTTCCACGTGGCCGCTGTGAGCGGGACTCACGCGACTGGACGGCTGTGAGGTTTGGGACTGATGTGTCTGGGAGCAGGGAGAAGGTGGGGTGGCCAAAGGTAAAGGGGGAGGAGGTGGACAAGGGTACGTGATGGGGAGACCAACTGCGGAATCAAAGGCCAGGCGTGCTAGGTCCAGGGCCCTCCGCATCCATCGCCCACCATCAGCCCGAGTACCTTCAGGGTCGACAGTGCTGATGAACAGTTCTGCTCTGCCCCGGGCCCTGCTGGCCGCGACCAGCACGGGCAAGCTCCCCGGCGCCCCCGGGCTCACAAACAGCCTCATCTTGCCGAGTGCCCCACGCTGACGCAACCGGAAGCCAGCTCCCGCTTCTGCGCGGAGCGGCCGCCGCAAAGCACGCTGGGATATGGAGTTCTAAACGATGCTCTTCGCGCCGCCCCCCAAAGGCGGACTATTTGTCCCATCATGCAACACTAGGACCCCGGAAGCGGGTATCATAGAGATGGAGACGCCGTCGACGCAGTACTAGAGCGGCAGTTTTTGCTGAGAGGGTTGAGATGTTGGCGTTTCGGGTTGGGCGACCCTTAATGCAGCTAGCGGGCAGTGACGGAAACCACCCCCTTCTTCTCTGGTCGCGGCCCAGGACAAAGTGGCGCTGTCCTGACAGCGGATAGTCGCTGTGGGACTCTCCACTCCATGGTGCTCAGAATTTTAAGATTTGGAAGTCGCAATCTGCTTACGTTAGTGACAAACTGGAAATCGATGTGGACGTCCTAGCAGTCAAAACCTGTGACTAATTAAGATACTAATTTATTACCAGTCTTCAGATTATATGAAGCTCAACGTTTTCCCAGGCTCCTAAGGCTCTTTACGGGGGGTGAGGAGATGGTGGGGCAAAGGTCAGATTGAAGGGAAGTAAGAAGGTGATGAGTATATATTATGCGAGGAAGTGTAACTGAGTAATTGAGAAAGGGAACTTCTTGCTGATCTTTGTATCCTTGGTCAGCAAATCAAAAATATGTATTTAAGTACCTGCTGTAAGAGCAATTAAACTGATAAACTCATGTGGTAGGCACTGTTCTAAGCACTTCATTTCTTTAACTCCCCAATCCTAAGAAGGTCCTCGGGCTTTTCAAACAAGATTCTGTGAAGGCATTTTTGGAACCTCTGAAGCCCTGAGCATGCCATGCTGGGCATGCCTCCTGCAGACATTCCAGGCCACAGCCCAGTTGGCCTCAGCATTCCAAGCACCCCCACCAAGGTGCCAGAGTGAAGCCCTCCAGACCAGTCCACCTGCCTACTGACTATCACCAAGTGATGCTAGTTCATGCCACATGGAACAGAATCACCCACTGAAACTCTACCCAAAATTCTGCCCTTAAAATTGTAGGCTCTAATGAAATGGTTCCTAACAACCCTATGAGGACAGAGTAGAACTACCCCTGTAGGTATCTAAGACTGTGTACAGAAGTAAAAAGCCTTGCCATTCTCCCTCAGAACAGCCGGTGGTTTCAAACTGCTGACCTTGTGATTAGCAGCCCAGCACATAACCCACTACACCACCAGAGTTCCTATGAATCAGAATTGACTTGATGGCAGTGAGTTTGAGCTCTGAATGAAATGATAGGTTTTTTGTTTGTTTTAGTTTTTTAACAAAAAAACTCCTATGACATAGTATGGTACAATGTGTTGCTTTTACATGACCTTTCGAGCTATAGCCTTACAATTCCCACCAAACTGACCAATCTGCTTGTTAGGGTCCCATATACCTTATTTGCATGGTCCCACCACTACAAGGGTGCCATGAATCTTGGTGGGCCACAAGCACCTTATCTGGACAGTACCACCCAATCTTTTGGTGAAACCACTTGCCCCTGAAATAGCAAACTGCATAAGGGCTACAAAGTATGTGTAGAACATCAGGGGTTGTGATCTTAGTAAACAAGTGAGAGGTGACCTTGGAAATGTGGAGAAGCCTGGAGCGAGAATATGGAGGCTTCTTTGTGCAGGCAAGTGCATTAGAGCTTAAATTCTGAGCACCAGGATTGCTGAAGGCTGTGGGTCACAATGAGAGCCCCAAATCCACTGTTGAATTTCCACATAGATTCTGCGTCCAGTGAATTATTGCTGACCACTGACTCGGGACTCAGCAGTTTGAGACGCTTTGCCCTCAGGTAGCATGTGTTTAAAAGTGGATTGCTAGTACTCTCCTTGACAATGCAGGGAGGGGCAGCCTAGCCCTTAGGGACTTCCCTGGGAGTGCCCCTGATGGAAATTGGAGTACTGGGATTCCCATAGTCATGAGTATGTCCTGACTGCCTTGGCTAGATGACCCTGAAACAATTCTATAAGTGTTTCTACCTGCAATAGTGTGACCATGCTAGTCATGGTCCCTTTCCCGATTCTATAGTCCCACTTGCAACAGCGATGAATGGATCTGCCTCAACCCTGATTCTCTGACAGTTCTCTGTGTTCTGTATAAGTGGCTGAGTGGACACAAGCATGGTCTCACGCTGACAGTCTTCCTCATCTGGATGATTTGTCTTGGCCTTGTTTAAGATTTCATAAATATGTCCCCATAAATTATATTTGAATTTGGGGGTTGTTTTTCTCTCTAGGACACAAATCTTTCAAGAAGTTTAAGAATTCTAAGAGAGAGAACTGGAAGTCCGTAGAAGATGGTAGAGATTTGGATTCAGTTTCAGTACTACTGGAAAGGAGTCAGTAATGAGAGTGGGGCAAGTGCTTCAGAGAAGACAGAAGAGGCTGGGATTCTAGCAGTAAACATCAGGTGACCAGATGAATAAATGAAGGACTGGCACATGAGTGAAAGCAGCTCGGTCACTTTCAAAGGGAGAAGGAGGCATTGAAGAGTAGCTCTCACCATGTGTTGAACAGGGAGCAAACAGGAGAAAGAATACTGAGGCAGAATCCCAGTACTGGCAACCCAGCCCTGAGCTCAGGGAAACAGCCTGACTATCCCCATCCTCACTTTTCCAACCCCACACAAAGCCTCACACCCTCACAGGGTGTCTCAAAGGAATTGAGCACAAGAGGGAATTTGTGGGTCAGGAAAAGTGGATGTGCTAGCCTGGGTTTTCAAGCACCAGGAAGGTGGCAGGGACTGCCACTCAGCTGCTTGGGACTTCATAGGGGCAGTCAGTCCCTGCCACCAAGGAGCTTACGTCAGCCAGCCTTGCCCCTGCCTGGAAGTCCATGGAAGATGGTAGAGATGTGGATTTCCTCTCATCTTATTCATTTGCTCCCTCACTAGGAACATCACCTGAATGTGCCCGCAGAACACCCTATGTTCCTTTCCCATAGTTCCTAATCCAATTACAGTGAATTGTTTTATTGTGTCCTTAAAGTCTGTCTCGTCCTACATTCTAAGAAGGCAAGGGTTGTGTCTGTCTTGTTTCCCCCATCTCTTCCCTTTAGTCCCTAATGCTGTTCCTTGCACAAGGGAGAGGCTCATAAACTCTTCTTAAAGAGCATGAATGAATGAATGAATGAACCCCAACGCCAAAAGGTTGATATGCTGAAGATGAGATGTTCCATATCAAGGCTTCTGAGCATCAAAATGCACAGTCCTGCGCTGGTATTTTCACCTCTTACCTCCAGCTCTGCCCTCGCGTTTCTCCCATCCACTTTCTGTGTCTCCCTGATTTGGTCTTACTTTGTTTCTATTGCTCTGTTTCTGCACAGGAAGCACGCAGCTTTAGGTCTGAGGTGATCGGTAACGGAAACTTTGGTGCCGACAAACATCTAAGGCAGGGGCACAAACGCTTGTTTTCTCTCTGTCTCTTTTCTTGGGCTTCGACCTTGGAACAGATCCTTTCTCCTCATCAACTTTGTGTGTACCACACCAGGCTCCCACCACCTCCCAGGACCAGCTCTCTCAGCCCCTGGATCTTCTAATGGGCTCCACAAGGTACAAAAAAGAAACTCACCAAGCTGGGCCATCTCCTCTGATTTCCTGTCTGGCCGGCCACACAGTACAGCTGACCACATCCTCTCTCACCTTACTAATTTACTTCCTCACTAGACACCCCACCAAGGAGTTCTCAGCCCCTAAAAGCGTGCCAGGAGGCTGACCCCCCACTTTCCCTCGGCCCTCCTCTCCCTCCATCACTCCTGGGCTCTGACTGGGCTCTTAAGACCATGTCCTTCTGCCCTGAGGCACTTAGTGCTGACCCTTTCTGGATTTCTAATGCCCTTTCTTCATACAGGTGCCAGTGCTGACCACTATGCTGTCAGGCCGGTGGTGGCCAAGTACTTGGGGGAGCCTAGGGCTAGGACCCCGAGGCCCTTCTCGGGTTCCCCAGCTCTGTGCCCTCTATGCCTTCACTTACACCGGGACCGATGGCCAGCAGGTGTCTCTGGCCGAAGGGGACAGGTTCCTCCTGCTTCGAAAGACCAACTCAGACTGGTGGCTGGCAAGGCCCCTGGGAGCACCCTCCAACTCTCGACCCATCTTCGTCCCTGCCGCCTATGTGGCCGAGGAAGTGACACCTCCCCAGAGTCCAACTACCACCCCAGCCACTCAATCCCACTGGAGCCCTGGTAAGTAGGCCCCCCACACACCCACTCCACCTTCCTACCACCCTTGTTTCTGGCAACCACCGAATCACTCGGGAGAATTCCCTGAGCTTCTGCTGACCCCTTTCTCTTAGTTTCCTCTAGACACACGCCCTGCCCCCCCCCCCCCAATACACACACACACTGTCCTGGGGTCTCCATCCCACTGTCTCCTCATCCAAACTCTCCTACCCTCACTGACATCGGCCTTACAGCCAGCCTCCCTCCGTCTGTATCTTCCCAATGGGCCTCAGAGAAGACGGCCCTGAGCCAAGGTTATGCCTCTGATTACCTGCATCCCCCCAACCCCCACACCATTTCTCTGTTCCCAGGGTCAGCATCGAAGTTACCGGGCTCCCTGGAGGAGCTGGCCCTGCCTCAGGCATCTGCAGGCAGAGCCCTGGCCTCGCCTGGGGAGCCACCGCCTCTTCCCCTCAAAATCTACAGCAGTGTCAGTGTTGCCAATTTAAGACCCAGCCTCTTGAAACCCACCCAAGAAGGACCGAGCAGAAGGTCCCTCTCCCAGGAAGACTTGCTGGCAGAGGCCACTGACCACCAGGTGAGTCACAGAGCTTCCCCTGGGCAGGGCCCTCAGAGGTTTACTGTAGGGCTCTGTCCTAGGCACGCACCATGGTGAACTAGACAGGCACACCTCTGCCCTGCAGACAGTCCCAGTGAGAAGCGAACCTGTCCGCACAGAAACCAGCTAACTCTGGAGCTGATAAGGGCCTAGGTTAGAGTGACATTCGGCTGCCTTTACAGGAGGAGGAAGGGGTGGTCTAAGAGGAGGGGACAACAGAGAGGGCAGGGGGCTCGGTAGGGGAGGGCTGAAAGACGGCCAACCCAGGTACATCTTGTCTTCTCGCTCCCTCGCTCGCAAAAGCGCTGCTCTCTCTCTTCCTCAGGACTCCTGACTCAGAGGCAGGGTCTCTCTGAGTCAGAATTCAGTGAGTTCCAGGAGATTTTTTGTCTTCTTATCTCCGGCCATCAGCCCCCTCTAAGATTCCTCGCTCTTCCCTAAAGCTCTCCCTCCCCCCCACCCCACCCTCTTCACTGGCTGAAAAATGGCCCCTCCTCCTACATGCGTCCCTAGCAGGGGTCTCTGACCCCTCCCACCTCCTTTCACCCAGCAGTGCCTGAGGGTGGGGCACTCCCCTCAACACACACACACACACACACACACACACACACACACAGCCTGTTCCCCTTTCCTGTGGCCCTGTGGTGGGGGCGGGGTAGGGGTGGAGGGAAGTTGGAAACAGGAAGTGAGGAGAAAAGCAAAGAAGACTGTGAGGGAGGGAATCAAGATATTTTCAAAAGCTGGCTTGGGGACTGGGGCTTCTCCCCCCAGGACCTGGGTACCCCCCAGCCAGGACCTGGTGGTGAGAAGATGGCGGGAGAGAGGCGGTGGCGAAGGTGAGGCGAGAACAGGGGCGGGCTCAGGCTGGATAACCACATCTTTTTTCCCCTTTCCTGGCAGGCAGACCCCCAGCTCCTCATGTCAGACACCCCCGTGTACTGTAACCTGGTGGAACTTCGCCGTTGCCCTCGGTCCCCACCCCCAGTCCCTGCATGCCCCCCACTGCAGCGGCTGGACTCCTGGGAGCAGCACCTGGACCCCATCTCTGGACGCTGCTTCTACCTACATTCATCGACTGGCTGCAAGTCCTGGAAGCCCCCTCGCCGCACACGGTCGCGAGGGCCGGTGAGACCTTCCCTCTGGGCCGTCCAGTTACCCTGAGCGCCTTCCCATTACTGAGCCCAAGATAGTGCCTTTTTCCAGAAGGATGTTGGGATCAGGTTGAGGTGACATCTGGATGCAGCTTCCCCTCCCCCTCCCCTAACCCCAGAGCCCTGGCTCCATGGAGGCCACAAAGACCCCGAGTAAGGACGAGGACACCCTGCACCCTCAGGCTGAGGGCTCAGGATCTGGCTCTGGGAACCCCGAACTGCCGGACCCCCAGGTGAGACCCCTCCCTGTGATCTCCCCCATCACAGACAGGAAAAGTCCACCTGTCTCTCTTCATCACCCATCATATCCCCTGCCCCACATCCACACCCCACTGAACCTTTCTCCTTCAGCCAGGGGGCTCTGACATGGAAGGTTCCTCCACCTGTCTCCTCCCTCCCCCAGGGCTCACCCCAGCTCCACACCTCAGAGCAGCCTGCAGCCTCGCAGTCCCCTCGACCGGTGCCACAGATCCTGGACGACCCCCATGTGAGTCTCTCCTTTCTTGGTGGCTGCCAAACCCTCAGCGGGCGCCCCACCCTTCCACCACTGCAACCCCAGAACCATTTCCCTCTTCCTGAGTGTTCGCTGGGGAGGCCTCTTGCCCAGACCCCCGACTGTAACGGAGCTCATGCTGAGCGACCCCCTGGGGAACAGCCTTGGCGACTGTGGGGGCCCCAGGGTGACACCTTGATGACCCTTCATTTCCCAGGAGGTGGAGAAGTCAGGACCGCTCAACATGACCAAGATCGCCCAGGGAGGGCGCAAGCTCCGGTGAGAAGAACCCTGCTGGCAGTGGGGGCTCGGGTGGCTAGATACTCAGGGGAGAGAGGGTGTTGGAGGAATGCCCTCCCTGTGGCCTTCTGGAATGACCTTTTCGCCTCCACCGCCGCCCCTGCCCCCGCAGGAAGAACTGGGGCCCATCTTGGGTGGTGTTAGCTGGTAACAGCCTGATGTTCTACCGAGAGCCACCGACTGCGCCCTGCTCGGGCTGGGTGAGTGTGAGAGAGCGGAGGACCCACGGGGGTGGGCCGGGGCAGGCAGCAGGGGTGCAGGCCCAGTTCTTTCCCCGCTCCAGCCACTGCGGAGGGGGGTGTCAGACGAACATTCAGAGTGGCGAAGGACCCCAGCCTCCCATGTCTCCGGAGCCCACGAGAGAAACACACGGCCTCCGTTTCTCCCCCCATTGCCAGGGGCCAGCGGGCAGCCGACCCGAAAGCAGCGTGGACCTTCGCGGGGCGGCCCTGGCCCACGGCCGCCACCTGTCCAGCCGCCGCAACGTCCTACACGTAAGTGCCCTCCCTCCGGGGCAGCCTCCAGCCCGCCTGCCGCCCGGCTCTCGAGGCCGCCCTGCCGGGTGGGTGGTGTCGGTCCCCGCGGACCCAAGCCTTTGCCCGCGCCCCTCAGATCCGCACGGTCCCGGGGCACGAGTTCCTGCTGCAGTCCGACCTGGAGCCCGAGCTGCGGGCCTGGCACCGCGCGCTTCGGGCGGTCATCGACCGGCTGGTGAGAGGAGAGGCGAGGGGGCGGCCGCCGGGTCCCGGGGGGCGGGGGCCTCGCCGAGGGTCTCTGACTCGGCCTTCCTTCCGCCGCCCTCGGGGCTCCAGGATCGCGAGAACCCCTTGGAGCTGCGTCTGTCCGGCTCGGGGCCGGCGGAGTTGGGGGAGCTGAGTGCCGGGGAGGATGAGGAAGAAGAGGAGCCGGAGCCCTTGCTCAAGCCGCTGCTGCGGCTCGGCAGCCGCCGGAGCTCCCGTAAGGGGCGGGCCGGGAGGCGGGGTGGGTGGGGCCCGGCGGCCGGCCGAGCGCCAGGCTCACACCCGCGGGGCCCCTACCTGCTGCCCCCCGGCAGGACGCTGTCCGGAAGGAACCGAGCAGAACCGCGTGCGGAGCAAACTGAAGCGGCTGATTGCCAAGAGGCCGCCCCTGCAGAGCCTGCAGGAGCGGGGGCTGCTCCGAGGTGAGGCGGGCCTAAGCCCATTTCACCAGTGAGGCTCAGAACTAGAGCACTGGGAGTCTCCTGGGAGTCACCCCTGCTTTCCCTACAACTTCAGATGATGGAGGGGGGCGAAAGGGTGAGCCCCCGCCCATGCCTGTCACAGGCAACCCCAGAAAGCCAACCCCACTGGGAGTGAAGGCCTGGGAGGAGAAGGACTTCTATGGTATTCTGTGCCCCTCCAGACCAGGTGTTCGGCTGCCAGCTGGAATCCCTGTGCCAGCGGGAAGGGGACACTGTGCCCAGTTTCGTTCGGCTCTGCATTGCTGCTGTGGATAAGAGAGGTCAGTTCTCCCCTGCCCCCCACCCCCATTCCAAAATCTCCCCTTCTCACAGACCAAGGACCCCCACCTGTCTTCCTGCTGGCCCTTTTCTCCCCACTGGAAGATCCCCTCCTTCCCTCCTCCCCAACACTTCATGTGCTACTGCTGGAATTCCAGGTCTAGATGTGGATGGCATTTACCGGGTGAGCGGGAACCTGGCTGTGGTCCAGAAACTTCGCTTCCTAGTAGACAGAGGTGAGAAGGCTTGTGAGCAAGGGATGGTTCAGAAGCACAGGGGGGCTTGGGGAGAGGGAGGTGGCAGCATAGGGTGGTCACCCTGCTGGAACCTTGCCTCTTAACTCCTCATCTCTCCTCACGTATTGCAGAACGGGCAGTCACCTCTGATGGGAGATACCTGTTTCCAGAACAGCCAGGACAAGGTACTTAAATGAAAGTCTCTCAGACCCTTGGGGCTGCCCACACCCTCCCTGATCCCCATGGGTTCCCTGCTCCCGGGAGGTCTTGTCTCTTGTCTCTTCCCTTCTCTCTTGTCTCCTATGGGCCGCTGGGCCTCAACGGGATCTTCTCCTGAACTCCTGTGCTCTCTGTGTCTGGGTTCCTCTGGTCCTTCATGAGCCCCCTGAGTCCCCGTGAATCTCTCCTCTCTCCAGAAGGACGATTAGACTTGGACAGTGCCGAATGGGATGACATTCATGTGGTCACTGGAGCGCTGAAGCTTTTTCTCAGGGAGCTGCCCCAGCCCCTGGTGCCCCCACTGCTGCTGCCCCATTTCCGTGCTGCCCTTGGTAAGGGATGGGAGCTTTGTGTAACACCCATGATCTGGGGGTGGGGGGAGGATGTGAATGGTGTAGAATGGGTTAGAAATACCCTCACACTCTTTGGTCCCACGGAGATGAAAAAGAAGAGAACTCTGAAGCTGTTGTTGGGCAGAAAAATGAGCCCTGGTGGTGGCGTAATGGTTACATGTTGGGCTGCTAACCACGACGTCAGCAGTTCGAAACCACCAGCCTCGAGGCTTTCTACTCCTGTAAAGAGCTATAGTCTCAGCAACTCACAGGGCAGTTCTACCCTGTCCTGCAGGGTCACCAAAAGTCAGCATCGACTCGATGGCAGTGAGTTTGGTTTTGAGTTTTGGAGATGGGCAGAATGGTGGGGGGTGGGGGTGGGGGTAGAGCTGTGGATGATTAATGATGTTTTCTAGGGTCAAAGAAAAAAGCAGTGAACTTACTTCCTGCCCTAACACTTTGCTTAATCCCACTCCCATGCCCTTCCCATCACTCTCTCTCTCTAGCCCTCTTGGAATCAGAGCAACGCCTTTCCCAAATACAAGAATTAATAGGCTCATTGCCAAAACCCAACCACGACACCCTGAGGTACCTCCTGGAGCATTTATGCAGGTCAGGAAGACAGAACCTCTTTGTTTGTGCTGGGGGAGGGGGGAGGGGACATGAGCTCAGGGAGAGGGTGGAGGTTGGGGTCTTGTTGTCCTATGGCTGTCACAATAGAAATACCAAGAGCTGGTACTTTTAATGACTAGAAATGTACTCCCTCACTATTTATGAGACAAGACAGGATCCCCTGGTGATAGAGTGGCAAAGCACCTGGCTGCTAACGGAAAGGATGGTGGTGCCGTGGGCGCACCCATGGGAAATAAAGATTTCCTCCTCAGAAACTCTATGGGAACAGTTCTGCTCAGCCCAACCCTGTCATCACGAGTGGTGACTAGCACTGCCGTCAAGTGCTGTAGAGGGTTTCCGAGACTGGAGCGCTCTCAGGAGGGAGCCCATGGCCTCATATTTCTGTTTCTCCTGGGTGAGAAGGAGCCCAACAGTCTGAATTCGGGACATTGGCTGTGGGGCAGAGCTTCCCAGATTGATTTGATCAACCACCCCCTTTTCAGAAAAAAATTACTCAGTGTCCCACTAGCAGTGAAAAAGCACTTGTACTGTAGCTCATAGACCAGGATAAAGTGTAAACACCTGCTTCTGCAGCCCCCCTGCATCTTTCCAGCCCTGCTCCCACCCTTCACTCCAGCCCCCCAAGCACTGCTCTGAAGAAAAGTGCTCCCTTGTCGTCCTCCCCCACTGCACTGTGGGAAAATCTCTGTCTCACCTTCTCTAGCCCCCGGTTCCTCAGTTCCTTGGCGATCTCTGTAGGGCAGCTGCTGCCTTTCCCTGTTTGCGCATGCTTGTTTCTGCCCAGGCTGTTCTTTGCATATCTCAAAAGTGGATCTGGTGGGAGACGTATGCTATGCTGCGCCACCTTGCAACAGAACAAGTAAAACCCTATTCCCAAATGGGATTACATCCACAGGTGTAGTGGTTAGGATTTCAATATATATTGGTGGTGTTGGGGGGTCGGGGTGGGGAATGTGTATAATACAATTCAACCTATCACAGTAGAAAAACATCTTAAGGTTAGCGGACAAAAAAAAAAAAGATTAGCGGACAAGGCAAGGTACTAGGCAACCCTATGTCGGGGACATTAGCAGAATCAAAGTCTTTGGATAGGCCAGACTCACATAGGGAGATAGGGACCCAGACAAGGCCAGGGAGAGCGAGAGAGGAGCTATCATCTCTCCCTGGCCTCTGTCTCTCTCGTTGGGACACTGGCGATGGTTTACTTGGCTGAGCTGAGTGATGACTGGAGAGGGATGTCTACTCGAAGTAAAGTGCAGTTACACTGTGGGATGTGAGCCATTTGGTTGGCAATTCGAAGTCACCAGCAGTTCCCCAGGAGAAAGACGGGGCTTTCCATTGCAGTAAACAGTTTACAGTCTCAGAGACCCATAGAGGGTCCCTGTGAGTCAGCTTTGACCTGAGGACAGTGAGCTTGGTTTTGGTTTGGAAACTGAGCAGAGAAGACTTTCGGAATAGTCCCTGTGGCTTGAGACAGCGTGTCCTCCTTCCTTGAAGGTTTCTCCACTGGTCCCACCTCCACCCCCTTGAGGCTGTCTCCTTGTTTGCCTTCAGCCACCACCCGGAGATAGCGCTGAAGGAACCTTTCCCTGCTTAAAATGTTAACCCACTGCCATCAAGCCAATTCTGACCCCAAGGCAATGGCGGCCCCAGTGTGGGTCAGAGTGGAACTGAGCTTCATGGGGCTTTCACCGGCTACTTTTGGGGAAGTCGATCACCAGGCCTTTCTTCTCAGGCACCTCTGGGCAGGCTCGAGGGGTCCAGTCTCTGGGTTAACAGTCCAGCACATTGGTGTCTTTGATGTGATAAAAGCTGCTTCCTTACAGCCCTTTCCTTTGGCCTCTGCCTCCAGGGTGATCGCCAACTCAGATAAGAACCGAATGACCCCCCACAACCTGGGAATTGTGTTTGGACCCACCCTGTTCCGACCAGAGCAGGAGACGTGTGACCCCGCGGCCCACGCCCTCTACCCTGGGCAGCTAGTCCAGTTGATGCTCATGGAGTTCACCAGTCTCTTCCCCTGACCCGAGCAAGGAGCCGAAGACAAGGGTTTCCAGGGATCCCTGAGGGTGCCCTTTGGGAAGGGGGTCCTGTTGTGAGGACATCCCTTTCTGTCCTGCCTCCCAAACAACTGCCATGGATCATCCATGACGGTGCTTCGGCCAGGGCCGGGAGAGACCAAGATGGGCTACGGCCCGGGCAGCTTCTTTAAAGGAACACATTGGGCTTCTCTTCACGACCTGCTGCCAAGAGAACACTTCAAGCTGGGCTTTTTCTGATGCAGTTCTTTTATTACCAGGAAATAGTGTCATTATCAAATTCCTCCCCCAAATATATACAGACTATATATAGCCCCGGCCCACACCTTTCATCCTTGGAGTTTCCTGTGCAGGGGACAGTGGAGATGGTGCAAGCCTCCCCCCACCTCCTCTGCTTGGTGGGAGGAGCATGAGAACCACTAGGAAGTGAGGACCTGTGACAGGTGACATTCCCCACTCTTTAGGCACTGGAATTGAGGAACTGAGTCTCCCCAGGCAGAGATCCCAGTAAGACACTCATGTTACCCACGGCCATGTTGGGAGGCCCAGAGGCTGGCGGGCTATGTTCAGAACTGGCCCCCTGATCGTGGGGAGGGGGAGGACTGAGCCCCTGGGCCTCATCCAGAATAGCCACAAAGTCCAGCTGAGTGTTGTCAAGGTCAAGAGAGTCCAAGGGGTTACACACCTGCCCTTCCGGAGGAGGGTACAAGGCAGGGCCCACCCCCAGCCTGCCCACCTCAGGATGGCCACAGCTAGGATTGGAGCCCCCAGCCTTGAGGGGCCCGTAGCAAGTGGGCAGTGGTGGGAGAAGGCGGGGTGGTGCAGCTGCCCTGTGGGGAGCCCTGTTGGCCCCCCCAAAATTTTCATGGCACTGTAAAGGGGTGGGAAAGGGGCCCGACTTATGATGGGACAAATTGGGTGCAAAGCCAGGTCCATATGTGGCCATAGAGGCCTTGGCGGGGCTTGGGCTAACCTGAGAGCCGCCTGGAAACTTGGGGTTCTGGTAAGGAGTTTCCTGGACTGGGGGCTGACCCCTACTGCCCCCCTCCCACAGCAGCTCCTGTTGAGACTGAACATAATTACACACAAGCTGGGCTTTGAGTTGTCCTGTGGAGTGAGGGGGCGAGTCAAAGTGCAGGCCAGACCTGGGCTCTGAAGGTGGATAGTCAGGGGCTGGCTGGGCAAAGGGGACTGCTTGGGGGTACGGGGGCGGGGTAGGCTGTGGGTAATGGGAGAACAGGGGCTCGGGATGGGTGGGGGCCTCACTGGGGTGGGCATTGAGGCAGGGTGCCAGTCCTGTAGAGTCGGAGCCCACCGGGCACCCCTGTTCCGGCTTGACCTGTACTTGCCCATAATGTTCAAGTCTTGGACACTGTCTGTAGGGCCCAGCCGGAGCCTTGACACCTGGGTACAGCCCGGAGGGGGAGGGGAAGTCACTCCATGATTCGGGGCTGGGGTCAGGATAGGAGACCTGCTGGGGGCAGGGACTAGGGCTGTAATTGGTCGGTGGACCAGGCCCAAAAGCCAGGGAGCCTGGGCCCCTGGCTCCATAAGGCTCAACGGCTGTCCCCGCTGGTCCCCCGTATCCCAGGGTGTCAGCAGGGGGGAAGTCCATGTAGGGGTTCAGCCCACTGCCCATCATGGAAGCCCCGACCTCTGGATCTTCGCGTAGCCCTCTGGTCTCCATGGTGAAGTTCTCGGTGATGCTGGGAGGCTGTGGTGAGTAGACGGAGGTGGGGAGGTGGGGATCAAAGTTCCGTACCACCCCTGCCACAGTGGGCGACGTGTGGACACAGCCCAGGCTCTTGAACCTCTGGACCCTGGCTAGAGCAGGGCGATCGGCAGCCCGGGCCGGGTCACTGGCCCTTCGGGTGACCCCTGCATTGGGGTGGTAGCCTGGATACTCGACTCGGCTTCTCCAAGGAGGTGCAGGGAGACTCCCCACCCGGTCCAGGCTGGAAGCTGCAGTCGGTGGGGTGCTGACTCCCCTGGCTGAAGCATACCTTGCCCGGAGCAGGTACTGCTGGGCAGGTGTGAGGCCGGGAAGAGAAGAGGGCCCGTTCTCGGGTGGGGAGCCAGGGGGGAAAGGGGAGGCCAGGGAGGAGCGGCGGCTGACCGTATAGGCCGAGCTGATGCTGCTGGAGCTGCTGCTTCGGCGGTCAAGAGAGACGGGGAGGCCCAGGCGGCGAGACACGGGTGTCCCTGAATAGGTAAGGGAGAAGAGGAAGGTGGTCAGGGAGCCCTCAAAGATCACCAGGTTCACTCAATGAGACAGCCTGGCCTCAGAGTCCCAGGGACAGGCTCCCTCAACCTTAACCACTGAGCCGGGCTGCCCACTTTTCCCAGGCCTTCTCTGTTCCCAAATGTGGTGCACACAGTTGCACAGGTACACTGCACAGTCTTAAGGGACAGCATCCCATCTTGGGCTTATACGTTCCTGACAGAAAGAAAGCGGTCTTAAAGGTAAGAGGCCCTCTAATTGCACCTAGGTGCCATCTGGCAGCGCTGAGGGGTGACCTGCACCTTCCTACCAACCTCAGAGCAGGTTAAGTCTCCACCCAGCAACCTCCCCACCACCACCCCTCCAAGCCCCCGTCTCACCGGTGTGGGGCAGGCTGGGCAGTTTGAGGCCCCGGGGCCCTATGGGGCGGAGCTGATGCAGCTGGTCCAGCCTGAGGTTCTCCAGGCGACGGAGGGTAGACAGACCAGTGCCAGCCATGCAAGGCCCTTCGTCCAGGCTGGACAGGTCCTCAGTGCTGCCCCCGGCATTGCCCGCCATTTCCACCCCGCTGTCTGTATTGGCCGCGCTGCCTGCCGGAGAATGGTCGCTGCTGCAGGATGACTGGGCCCCGGGGCTGGGCTGTGGCTTCTGTGGGGGAAATGAGTGAGGGGTGAGGGCAGCACCCTTCCCCACTGCCCACAGTTCCCTGTACTTGGTTGGTGGTAGGCTGAAGCCTGTGTCCTGGGCTGCTAGCTGACGAGAGTGCCTGGCAGGTAAGAGGTTCACTGGGAACTAGGTTTTACAAGATCCTAAATTGGAGCACACACTGCCCGGGGGCAAATTCCTGTTTAGTTTTGTGACCTGAGGTCAGGCTCTGTGTTCCTCAGTTTCCTCCTCTGAAAGCTGGGGGAATCGGTCTCTCACAAGGAACTCTGAGAGTCCCTGAAGTGGCCCAGGCACGTGGCTTAGGGAATCTAGTACCCCTGCTGTGGTTTGCTGTCAGGTGGGTCCAACCACTGACCTCTTGCCTATCCAAACCCAACCCAACCCAACCCACTGCCGACACAGAAATCCTATGGAGCAGAGTGGAACCGCCCGGAGCCTCGGCAGGGCTGTCATCCTCACGGAAGCTGATGGCCTCGTCCTTGTCCCATTGAGCTGGGTCTGAAGCCCAAACCTTTTGTCTACCTGCACCACCGGGGATCCTTTTGCCTATGCCAGCCCACTGCCTTCATGTGGATTCCAATTCACAGGGGCTCTGGGTAGGGTTTCTGAAACCATAACACTTTACCAGCGATGACAACCTCACCTTTCTCCCTTGATGTGGCTGGTGGATTTGAACCACCAGCCTTGTGGTTAGCAGCCCAAAGCCTAACAGTGTCATCACGGCTCTGTTTGCCTGTACTGAGTGCTATGGCAAATTAAGTAAGCAATTGGACGGAGACTCGCAGATCTGGGGCTGTCCAAGGAGCAACACTGAGTTCAGAAGCTGGAGTGCTGGCGACAGCCAGAGCTTTACCGAGCAGGGGGATGGCGCCGGGGGCAGGCGAGGGGGTTCGCATGATGGCCTGCTGGGCTGTCTCACCATGGCACCCTCAGGCACGGCCAGTCTGCTCTCCTCCCGGAGGGGGCCTCCGTCCCGCTCCCTCTTGGGCTCTACTGTGGCTAGGGACGATGCCCGGGGCAGAGGGCCGTCTCCCCGGTGCCGCTTGGTCACGTGGGCATCAGGACCATGCACCGTCTTGACGTGTTTTCGAAGCGAGCTGGGATCGGTGTAGCGTTTCGTGCAGCCAGGGAGCTTGCACACATAGGGCTTCTGTTGAGTGGAGAGTGGAGACAGAGGCCAGGGGCTCTGTGAGGGAGGACCCAGAGGCGTAGGAGAAAGGGCTGGCAGCATGGGCATCAGTCCGGTGCACAGAGGGACAGGCGGCCCCAAAGGGACTGCAGAGGCTGGGCGCACGGACATGGGTGTACACGATGTGATGTGGAGAGAACCAAGGGGCCAGGGGCGGGCCTGGGGAGGAGGCAGGATGAAGCCAAGAGGGCAGGGGACACCCTCTAGGTAGCAGGCGTCCTCCCTGGAGGGAGTGGGAGGGCTGAGGGGACACCCTCTAGGTAGCAGGTGTCCTCCCTGGAGGGAGGGGGAGGGCTGATACGTGGGAACCCTTGGCCTCAGAAGGACCTGAACTATAGAGAGAGGGGTACACCCCTCTGTGCAAAGGGTTCTGGGCTAGGGATTCCATATGGGAGAAGCTGTGGCAGGTAGCTTCACCAGGCGCGAGGGCGCTGCAGGGGCCTCTCACCTCGTCGGAGTGGGTCCGGTTCTGGTGCTTGGCCCGGTCGCTGGCGTTACTGAAGGCCTTGGTGCAGCCCTCCCGCTCACACGTGTATGGCTTCTCGCCTGTGTGGGACCGCAGGTGCGTCTTCAGGTTCTCCAGGCGTGAGTATGACTTCCGGCACCCTTCAAACTGGAGGGACGTAGGAGTCAAAGCAGAGCTCTCACCCAGAAGGACATGAAGATGAGAGGAACCCCAAGACCTCAGAAGGGCATACAGCAGAGAATATCACTCAAGACGGGAGTGCACTGAGGGCTTCAGGCCGGTGTCCTAAATGAGCAGATGAGGGCAAAGCAAGAGCTGGGGGGGACAGCAGCAGCCGGAGAGCCCTGCCGAGGGACATGGAGCTGAGGCAGGAGGCGTCTCCTGGCCAAGCCTGCCTAGGGCATGAGACTGGCTTAGCTAAGCGTGCCCTGGAGTATGGGCAAGGAGAGGCTCGTCTGTCCTGATGCTGGCTTTTCTAGCCCTCAGAGGAGGACGCACAGGCCCCGGGACCCACGATACTTTTAGGGACTCATGAAAAATTTAAAAAAATAAATGAAATCAAGGTGGGAAGAATGAACGTTTAGGTCACAGAATATGTTTGGATACATACAAATCCACCCATCGTTAGACCAGCCCTCACAAGATATTCTTAATGCTCGTTTCTAGAAGGAGCCTTGGTGGCGGCGTGGTTCTATGGTGGGCTGCAAGCGCAAGGCCAGCGCTTTGAAACCACCAGCTGCTCAGGGGAGAAAGACGGGGCTTTCTGCTCCCACACACAGCTCCAGTCTCAGGGGCTCACAGGGGCGTTCCCTTCTACCCTGCTCTCGGGGTCACTGTGAGTCTGGCGACATCGACCCAGTGGCAGGGACTTTGCTCTCTCATCTTTGGTTCTGTTTCTAGAGGCAGGGCCTAGAAAGGCAAAGGCATCCAGCATCCAGGTAAGGGCCCGCCTTGACAAGACACCCCAGTTTAGGAGAAGGTCTTGGCCTTGGGAAGTGGGTGCCTTACCGTGCACTTGTGTGGCTTCTCGCCCGTGTGTCTGCGCATGTGCACCACCAGCATGTACTGGGCCTTGAAGGGCCGCAGCTCCCTGGAGCAGCCCCCCCAGTGGCACACGAACTCCTTCCGCTCCCCGTGGATGTGCTCACTGTTGATGTGCTGGGGAGAAGATGCAGGGGTGCTCTCTCCAAGGTCCCCCTAGGCTCCCGAGACCCCAGGACAGCTCTCCCCAGCACCCTCCTGCCTTCTTCCTTTTACTGCTCCCGGGTTCCATGTTGGGGCGGGAAGAAGGGTCAGGAAGAAGATCATATCCCACCATCTCATATTTTCAGCTTCCTACAGCTGTAGACACTTGGGCGTCTGCCTCGCAGCCAAGGGACGCAACCTCAGCGTGCTCAGCCTCCTCCATCCTCCGTCCCTCAGACTGATGCCGGATGCCCCACCCAGAATCTCCTCTGGGCTCTGCCAGCCATTCCAGTGACCACCCCATCCTGCCCTGCCCTGGCCCGCCTCCCCCCCGCCCCCCTGCTCACGTGGACCAGCTGCTCCTGGGAGTCGAATTCCTGGCTGCAGCCATCCCAGTGACAGTCTGTCTCATACACGGAGTCAGGCTCTGGCTTCTCCTCCCTCTCCAGGTCCTCCCGCCCATCTAGCATGCCCAGCAAGGGGTCCTAGGGCAGGAGAGGCCAGCTAGGGTCGCTCGGGTGACAGCTTTTATTTCCCTAGTGCCCCAGAGGTTCCAGTCCCCTTCCTCCCCGCAGTACCTGTGTGCCTGTAGAGTTGGGGCTGGACATGTCACCTTCCAAGGGCTCCTCCGGGCACTTGCCCACCAGCATGTCCAGCTCAGACTTGAGCTTCCACAAGGAAGAGGTGAGGGTGATGAGCGTGGAAGTGGGCAGAGGAGGAGGAGGAACGCAGCTAGGTCTCCCTGTCCTGCGTGTCCCCACCCACCCCTGGGCCGGGTACCAACTTCCTCCTCACACTGCACTGGTGAACGAGACGGCTGAAAGGTGGGGTCTCATGTGGAAGTCTCTGGTTCAACCCCAGCCCTCATACCCCTTTTCTTTCTGATCCTAGTGCCCCTGCCACCCCACCGTGAGCTGAAGGAGAAAAGAGAGCAACAAGGAACACTCACCTGACAGGCTGGGGGGGGCTCCAGGGCCTGAGGAGGATGTGGCATCATTCCACCCCTGGTAGGGTCATGGGGGCCACAGGGCTGGACCCCAAAGGAAGGTGAGGTCCCTTTTTGGTGATTCATCTGGGGTGGAAACCCCAGGGATGGGCTAAGGAGAAGGAGGGGAGGCAGTTACTTAGTTACTCAGCTTGTCTCAGGCGTTCTTGGGCCATTTAGAGATTCTCAGGAAGGCCTGGCATGGGAAGTGGCTGAGGTAGTCCTGGGAAGGATGGGGATTTCTCTGTCTTGGGAACAATAAGGACTCAGCCATAAGGATGCACCCAAGAGGGAAGACTGGTCGAGTCCCCAAGAACAGGCGGCTAGGAGGGCTGGATGCTCTGGATGGGGTGTGGGAAGGTCTTTGGGGGACCTCTCAGCCCGAGGCTGCCTGCACCTCATGGTGCCGATGGAGAGGTGGCCGTAGGAGCCCCCTGGAGAGGCGCATCGCGAGTTGATGAAGGCCACAAGGGAGCTGGGCGAGGTGCGGATGACCGTCTGCAAGTCCAGGCTGGCATCGGACAGAGGTGAGATGGAGAGGGTCCGCTTCTTGGTCAACTTGACCGCGCTCCGGGGAGGAGGAAAGAGTGGGGCTGGAGCAGGGGACAGGGGACAGGGATAGCCTAAAGAGGCATGTTTCTCCAGGCACCCATCCCACCCATGGATCTTAACACTTAGACAAAACAAAACAACAAAAAGCCCTTGCCTCTGCGTTGCTCTGCCAACCCCACCTAGGGCCCCATGGCCCATGGGCCCATCTCCCAGCCTCTCTGCCTTCGAGGCAGAGTCCCCCGCCCTCCGTCCTCCCGCTTTCTCTCTCAGGGTAAGTCCCAGAGGGACCGAGAGGTAGGGGGGTGTTGCCTGAGGGCTCACCCTCAGTGCAGCTGTTGGTCTCTCTGGCTGGCCCATAACCGTGGGGGCCGGACATGAGGTTGGCCTGGTGACAGAAGGGCATACCAGACAGTCCTGGGGGAAAAAAGAGACAGCTGGAATGGGGGATGGGAATGGAGGACACCTGAGGCCTCACCTTGAAACCACAAGCAAAACATGATCCCAGATTCGGGATCCACAGCATAGCGGGGCTCAGGCCTTCTGTACATGGGAACGGGGCACTGCATCTGGAGAGGAGGCTCTGTTGAAGCGCCCAAGGCCTAAGGACTGATATGTGCACTGACCTTCTGTCCCCATGCTGAGGGCCCCTTGACTGGGGAGAGGCCGGAGGCAGCAGGGTTCTCCATAGCTACTGACTGGTGGTGGGGTCATGGAGTTGAACATGGTGTTTCAGAGGCGAGTGTGGGAACACTGCTGGAGGAGAGGGGATTATCTGCAAGTTATAAGACAGGAGGGAGACGGGCGAGATCAGATTATCTCAGGCACAGAACCCTGGACAGAACTTCCCCTGTGTCCCTACCATCCTTTCGACATCTGCCCTGGGAAATCACTTAGAAACTACCATCACTAGGCCGTGGGGAAGGCGTACTCACGCCATCCACGAGGCAGAAGCCGGTCTACAGTTCCTCCAGGGTCCGGCAGAGGGAGCCCTCGTCACAAGCCAGAGGAGGCTGATGGGGCCAGAAAAGAGCATGGAACTGCCCAGTTCTCTTTTAGAGGGGAGCCCGGGATATGTAGGAGGGGAGTTTTGTGCACGTCGGGGAGGTAGCTGTGCGTGTGTTTTGTAGAGCAGGGGTTGGGAAAGGAGCCTCAGATCTGTTTTGGGTGCAAGGGATGGAAGCCGATGTTATTCTGGGGCGCCCACTTATATTTCTTTGGTGTCAGTTTTTTTGGGGGGCGGAGCAGGAAAAAGATCGAGGAAGAATGAAAGAAGAAAGTCAACAACCATTAGGGTGGCTTTGTGAGGGAAGACAGGGAGCTGCTGTCTGCTCTTCTCAAACTCCAGTTTATACTCCACCCCAGGTCTTCCGGGCTCCCAAGACGGAGGGTGGGGTGGGGCGGGGTGGGGTGGGGAACAACCGGGAGCGGTCCGGCCGGCGCGGTGGGTGATCCCGGGATGCTGGGATTTAGGGTGAGGGCGGGGTAAAATGGGGAGCGGAACCCGGACCCCAAGACCCAACCCAAGCCCCGCAGCCTGGGCTGTACCGTCCCTAACTCCTCCTTTCCCAACCAAGTTCCGGATCCCGCATCCAAGACCTCCCAACTCGACCTTGGCACGGGGCTGGGGGGTGGGGGTAGGGGCACAGCTGGCTGGCAGCTGGATGAGGGGGACACCTCTCCCGCCTCCTTCCTCTATGACTCACCCTAGGGAAGGAGGCGGGGTCGCAAACGACCCCCAAACACAAAAGAGACTCCCCAAAGAACTTATTCCGTCATCTTCCTGCCCAACCACCAGGGACCCCATGGCTATGAGGGGCGACAACCCTCCTCGCCCACGCGTGCCACATCCCACCCCACATTTCTCCTTTACACGCAGGAAAGGAAAATTTCGCCCACTTTTCCTACTACGGCCAAGTTTTTCTGGGGTATGGGTGAGAACACAGAATGAGCTCCAGGGTTCCCTAGCCGGAGCCCTGAATCATCTGTGTCTCCCAAATTTCCAGAGTTCCCCTCGCAACTCCGCTCCCCAACTCCCAGGAGCCGGCCCCGCCCCCTTCTCCTGGTCCCGCCTTCCCCGCCCCCGTGCCTCCTCGGCCCACCCAAGTCGCCGCCGCAGGCTCTGGCTGCAGTCGGCTCCGCTTCCCCCGCCCGCCCCGGGAGCCCAGTCGAGCGAGCCGTAGTGGAGGGGGGTGGCAGAGGAGTGGGGGGGTGATGGGGCGGGACGCATTCTTCCCTCCTCCCCTCCATGCGTCCAGAAAGCAGGCAAGTGGAGCCCTGGGGAGCACCATTGTAGAGTTGTGCGGGGGGTGGGGGGGCGGCTGTCCCCATGGCAGAATAGGAAATAAAGAATAATCCAGAAAATATAGGGAAAGAAAATGACGGGGTAAATAAAGCAAGGTGTGTATGGGGGTGGGTCAGGACACCTTAGGATCCTGGGGATCCCAGCCGGATTCCCAAGGGTTAATCCCTGTTGGACCCCCGGGAACCCCCTAGTGACGTCAAGGGCGGGGTCTAAAACACGGGGCGGGGATGCCAGGGAGATAATGAGGGGGGGTCTCCGGACCCCGCCCCCTAGGGAAAACCACCCTAACTCCTGCCCTTACTCTAGCCTCTGGAAACTACCCCGCCTTCTCCCTCTACTGGGGCGTAAAGAACTATCCTATGAAGACCCCAGTTCTCCAACCCCCCAAAATTCTCAGTACTCTGTCTCGACAGGGTCCCCCTCCCTTAATCCTGGGCCCAAAGCTAGTTGCCCAGAGCGGATTGTTTCGGGGTCATGAGGCCTGAAAGAGGCTTCAGAGGCGGGGAGCAAGGGCAGGCAGGGTGGTCCGAGGCAGAGGAGGGGCCTCGGTCCCCAGCTCCCGTTTGGGGAGGGGGAGGGCCACGGGATGCTCAAGCAGGCAGTGGCCAGTGGTCCAGCCCAGCCCAGTAGGGGTCTCTCTGTGGCTGGCCCTAGCTGCCCTGGTGGTCCTGAGTTCATAGGGTCAAGACAAGGTCTCTCTACCTCCAGCTCAGGGCCCTGAGGACTGTGATGTCTAAATTCTAAGGGGAGTCTTTCTCCGGCCTAGATGAGACACCAGGCTTCTCCTCCAGTCCTCTCCCTGGCCCAGAGACCACTCCTCTCTCTACAAACACGGACAACCGCGGCCCATCTCTCACAAGATGATCAGGACTTCAAGCCCAGACGCCCCCCCCCCCCTGTGGTTTTACGGTCTCACCTCACACACACACACCCCACACCCATCCCCATTCCACCCAGGGCTGCCTTCTTCGGGTCCCTCCTTTCAGAAACACTGACGTTTTCCTGAAAGCCCGGCTCTCAGCACACACCTGGAGTTCCCTCTACCACGCAGAAGAACTCCAGCGAGCCGCGCGAGCCTCCAGCCTCTGCATCTCAACTCCGGAAAGTGAGAGATTTCTAATATCTGGGAGTGAGGAGGCAGACAAAGAGAGCCACAATTGCCTGGGACAGAGACACACCGACTACAAGCCTCAGAAGGAAAATAAAATAAAATAAAAGGAGGTGGGGGGGATACAGAGAACAGGAACTACAAATGAAAAAAACCCTCAACTTTCTCATTTCTCACCCCAGGCTCTCCCACCGCCTACTTTGCCCCCGTGCCCAGGTCAGCCCCTAGGGTGGACAGAGCATCCCCCCTCAGCCTCCTTCCCCCACCGCTCCCAGGTGGTCCCCCGCTTGCTTCTCCCCCTCCCGCCCCCCTCTCACCTCCGTCTGGGCGCAGGGCTCGGGATGCGCGGTCCAGGGCTGGAGTCTGGGCTGGGGGGGTGTATAGTGGGGAGGGGGGGGCGGACAGGGCCACGGCGGCGCAGCCTCAGTGCCACCCCACCCCCCCCAACCTGGCCCCCAGCCCTCCAGTCGGCCCAGCCCGCCGGGCCGCGAGCCGGGACCACCCGCGAGAAGCGCAAACTTTTTTTTCCCTTTGCAAAAACTTTTTCTTGCTCTAGCCGCTGGCGCGCCGCCGCTCTTCCCGCTCGCCCCTCACCTCCCTCTTATTTCCCTCCCTCGCGCCGTTCTAGAGAAGGAGGCGAGGTGGCTGAAAGAGAGGGGGTGCTGGGCTTATTGCACCCCCAGGACCCCCAGGATCCTCCCCCTCCCTTGAGAGACCCTATACAGCCTCCCCCCCTCCACCGCTTGCTTAACACGCTGCTGTAGGTAGTCAGTAAATCCCGGCGTGGATCCCTGGATCGGCTCTCCACGAAGAGGCCATAAACCCCAGCCTGAAAAACAGACCGGCAGTTATAAGGGGGCGGGGGCAGAGGCAACGAACAAAAATTCACCTTAGAAGATTTTGGTTGGTCGCTTTTGATTAGTGCTAGCCCAGTATCCTGTCTCTCTGTGGCTTGGGGCCGACCTCATCCTTTGGGTAGAATTTGGAGGGCTTGGGATAAAGTAGGAATTTGGGAAGGTTGAAGGGCTGGGGCCCTTGGGCAGAAGGTGAAGAAGGGTCTACGGAGCATAACCGAAAGAAGCAGCGGTCGTGGCTCTAGGTGTAGGGTGCGTGTGTGTGTGAGTGTGTGTGTTCACAGGTCATCTAAGGCTCCCTGGGTCTGAAACTTTGTTTCCCTGAGAACCTCAGGCTGCTCTTCAACTGCAAGCTCGGCCGACGGAGGCCACCTGGCACTGCCGCTCTCTTTCCACTCTTGACGGCTCTCTGCGCCCTCTGCTGGCCGACCTGGCACATTACACGTTCTGGAACCTGCTGGGCGGCGGGGGAGACCGGGAGCTGGAAGAAAGACGTGGAGGCTTCGCTGGTCTCCGTGTGCCAGAACCAACACTTTTCCAATGACCATTGGTCTGGCCTGACTCTAGTGAGTCCCTGGCCCTCTCCATATACGTAATTGGGCTCCGGATCAATGTCATGTGTGGAAGAAGGCTCCCCAGCCTGATGCAGACCTCTCCCTAGCTTCACCCTTTCCTCAAGACCCTCAGGGTTCACGGTTAGGTTAACTCATTGGCCCTCCAGACCCAAGGAGGTGGCCCTTGGATGTGAAGGTCGGTCTGTCTGAGGGGTGGCAGACCCGGGAAAGGGACTCTTTCCCTCCACCATGGACGCAGAGACTAACCGCCCCTTCCCCTGAACCCCGTCACCAAAGCGATTTCAGATCGACACTGCAGCTCTGCGCTATAAGCTGCTGCCAGTGCACCCCTCTGTTTCTTTGGGCGCGCACGTTTGTTCTCGCCCTGGGCTTCTGAGCGGGCTTCGGAGACCAGCAAGGCCTCGACCTTTTTCCTTGGGCAGCTCTCTTTTAAAAACTCCGTTCCACATAGTTCTCTAGACCACTGCCTTTCAAACTCTTTGGTCTTTAGGCTCCCTTTAGTAGCCCTGGTGGTGTAGTGGCTTCATGTTGGGCTGGGATACACATGGTTGGCAGTTAGAAACCACCAACTGCTCCAAAGGAGAAAAGATTGGGCTTTCTACTCCGGTAAACAGTTACAGTCTCAGAGACCCACAAGGGCTCACTATGAGTCAGCATAGACTGGGTGGCAATGGGTTTTTGAGTGAGGACTCCCCCCATCCCCACCCCCATTACATACTTAAAAGCACTGAACTGCTGTGTGTGTGGTTTATATCTATCCATTTACCATATTGAAATTTAAAATGGAAAAAAAAGGAAACACAAGAATATACAAGCACACATTCCACTAGCAGTGATGTCAGAAAGATGGTGTAATCACATGTCAGGCAGCCTCTGGAAAACTCCACTGGACACATTTGAGCTCATGAACATTCAGAAAGGCAAAGGCCATCTCAGCACTCTAATGCCAACAATTTGGACTGGTGAAAGGGTCTCAGAGACCCTCCCAGGAGTCCCCAGCCCCCACACAGAGAGAATTGCTGTTCTAGCCTGGATCACTACCCTAGCCTGTTTTATTGCTCACACCCATTGATTTTTGTTTTCTCGTTTTTATTAGCAAAGTATAAATGTTTGTCTCTCCAGGGGGTCCTGCCCCCCAGGGAAAACCAGAACCATCTCTGGGGCTCAGCACCCTCCCCACCCCCTCTTAATTCCCTTCTTCAGCCCCTGGCCCACCTCCCTCTGGACCCCTCCCTTCAATCACTCCTACAGTCCCTAGCCTTGACCAGCCTGTTCCGCGGGCCCCAAGCCTGCCTGGCCCTCGGTCAGCTTGCTCCTGCCTCAAAGGTGGACTTTCTCTTCTTGGGAGAGACTCCTCCTTACCTTTTCTCTGCTTTTTTCTTCCCTCCCTCCCTCACCCCTGCTATCTTCTCATAGAACTTAGACTAAGAAATCATCCTTCCTGGGCAGGCCTCTGGGAGAAAGACACACTTTATCCATCTCCCCACACATCAGCCAGCCTGATGCAGACCGAGAGAGTCTGGGCAAAGAAGTGCCTGTTTGGGTCACACGGGGCTCAGCCCAGGCACAGGACCAGGTTGCCTATGGGGTGGGGTGTCGCTCAGGTACCTGATGCCGTCAACCCTGACTTTGGAACCCTGACTTGATCTCGTCATGCCCAACCCCTCAGGTTCAGGGCCTTCTGCTAGCTACAGCCGCAGGCCTCTACCACCATATCTGGCACATCTGTCTTGACCACATTGCCATTACGGTCCAGGTAGAGGAGGGACAGAGACCTTCGGGCAGTGGGGACACAACAGGACGTACCCAAGGGCCAAGGGGTATTGGCCTTGAGGAGGCTGAAGACAGCCGAATGGAAAGAGGCAGCAATGCCCGGGCTGCCAGCCAGGTGTGGGGGGCACTGCCCCTGGCAGTAATTCAGCTGGTAGCCCTCAGGCTGCAGGATCCAGTCCCGCCATCCCAGTTCTTGGAAGTCTACGTAATGATCTCGCCGACAACATAAGGGAGTCTCAGGCTCGCAGGTGGGGGTCCTCCTCTTGGCCCGCCCCTCCCTGGGCTCCTTGGCCCGGATCTTCAGTTCCAAGAAGGGCCGCTGATCGCCCGCGGTACCCAGGAGCCTCTGCAGTGGCGGCAGAGAGGTGCTATTGCGGTGCAGGGGTCTGCAGGTCAGCTGTAGCTTCAGGACGCCGGACGCCTTGCCCCTCAAGCCGCTAGAGGGCAGAGCCAGAGCGTGCCAGCCCGGGGTGTCGATGTGATGCTCGGCCAGGGGGGTGCGGGACCCTTGGCGCCTTCTCCCGGAGCTCCACCGGACGATCCTCAAGTAAAGGGGGCCAGGGAGCGCGGGGCCCACATGCAGCCAGAGGCGCGCGCGGTACAGGTGGTGGGCCCGAGGAGTGGCCAGGTGGAAGGTGAGCATGGAGCTGCAGGCGGCAGCAGAGGGACCTGCCCAAAAAGATGGGGAAGGGAAGGCACCGTGAGCAGACCGATCCCCATGCCTGGTAACCCCGCCCAAAGCCTTCCTCCTCCTCCTCCACCTGCCCCCCTCCATCCTATCTGCTCAGCCAGCCTCCCCATCTGCCTCCCTTTCCCTGTCATTTGCTGCCAGGCCCTCTGTCACCCACCTGTAACGGGCACAGCGGTCGCAAAGCTGACGACTTCCTCCCCACTCGCTGGACTCACACTTGCCGGCTGCAGTCTCCGGAGGGCTCTGCTCAGCGCTGCCCGGGGTGGGCGCTGGATTATTTGAGGACGACTAGTCAGGTGCAGCCCCTCTAAGATTTGCTGCTTGGCCAGCTCCAGGACCAGAGCTCGTTCCACTTGAGTTGCCACCATAGGGCTCCCACAGGAGGGACACCCCGCCCCTGTCCCCTGGGCCCTCACCAGTGTCGTCCACAGCAGCAGCAGCAGCTGCGGGAGCAGGACTCTGGGGAGGCCCATGCTCCTGTGGATGGCCTGGGTCAAGAGCCAGAGCCCTTCTGCTGAGTCTGATCGCAAGAGGGCCAATCTGGGCAGAGCAACGGAAGAGACTAGTGCCACACCTACCCCTGACCCAGGGTCCAGCCACCTGCCTCCTCCTGCCTGGCACTCAGGAGGCAGAAAGCAGATTATCCAATGAGTAGCTGTCCTTCGCTCTGCCTGTCAGCCTGACCCCTCACCGCTTATGCCTGACTACTGATCTGGGGCCTCTTTAGAGCCTGAGTCTGGGGCTCCCCCACCTAGTGGTCAGCCGGCAGACCTACCCTCTGAGCCTGGGGATTGGATAACTGTGCTGCCCATCAGGCCCCTGCAGTGGGTGGAGGTCCCCCCTTGGAGCTCTGGTTTCACCATCTGCCCATGGTGACTGGACTTGAGGTAGGGGCGTGGGGGTGGGGGGTGGTGTGGACTCGCATGATGCAAGAAGGAGGATGATTTCACAGGCTCACGCCCGAAGGTCTGGAACTTGGGGGAGGAGACTCCATAAGAGCCAGGTGGGGAAGTATCATGTCTGAACAGACTGGCCAGCATTCCTAACTTGCTCTGTCCCAACTGCCAAAGTGCCCATTCACCCGCTGTGGGTTCCGGGGTGGATTCCTCTGGGGCCTCCGGACCAGCAGATGAACCCTGGGAGCCCCGTTTCTAGCAAGGAGACTCAGACATAGGTGGGGGCTGGGCGGGGTGGCACAGGGCACCCAAGTCACCCCCTGACCCTGCCTATGCTGGCTGCACAGAGTCCACCTGGACTGGAGCACAGCGTGGAGGAAGGCCAGCGCCTGGGGCGGGGGAGGGGTGGAGTCCCTGGGATGTCTGGGGAAGCCCAGAGAGGGGGCAGTGGGGCAGAGTCCACCAAGGCTGGCAGAAGGCTGTGAAACTTGGGAGGACGCCTGTGCCAATAGTCTACATTTGGGGTATCCTAGAGGTAGTGCAATTCAGTTAGTGCCCTCTGTTAATAGAAATGTATGTGGTGGTGGTGGTGGTGGTGTGTCTGACTGCCATTGAGTGGAAACCTGTGGGTGGCCACGGATGTCCATCTTCCCGAGAGCAGAAAGCCTCTTTCTCCCAGGGAACTGCTCACCGACTGTGAGGTGCGCAGTCTGGTCATTGCGTAGGGAGCGCACTGCAGCCCCGGTGGAGCTGGGGGTGGGCGGAAGGCTGTGCAGGACCCAGCAAGGAGCGTGCAGCAAGCAACCTCGCTTCAGTCCTGGCCACACTTCCTGATTGACTGAAAATGGGAGGCCCGCGGCCCCCACCTTGACCTCCTTGGGCTTGGTCTCGGGCTGAGTTTTCTCCTTATACCCCTGGTGCTAGTTTTCGGGGGTTTTTTGGGGTTTTGTTTTGTTTTTGAGAAACTGGGAGAAGAAAACTGCGGGGAGAGCCAATGTGGTCTGGAAATGTGGCTCCACTCTATTTGACATACCCGCTCCCCACCCCCCACCAAACCCTTAGTCAATGGAGAGACATTGCATGCTAGTTCCCAGAGGAGAGCTCTAGGGGTGGGGTGGGGGCTCAGTACCACAAGTGTCCACCATGTGGCAGTGCTGCGCCACTGGACAGCGACGGGCCTAGGTTGCCTAGGAGCCTCCTAGGAAAGGACAGGGAAAGGGGCTGCACTGGCAAGGGGAGAGCCCGGAGCAGCAATCCATCCGCTCCCTTTGGGGACCTGCCTCCTCTCTAGAAGAGGAGAGGAGCTGTTTCTCACGCTCCTCCCTCCCCCACCCTCACTGTCCCGAGGATCCACATCACTGCCACCTTTGCTTTTGGACCTCATCACACTGACACGTGGCAGTGGAGCCTGGTGATGGGTGCCAGGCTCTTCCTAGAAACTCCGGGCATGACATGGTGGGGAGGGTGGAGAAGGGACCATGAGAACACACACACACACACACACACACACACACACACACACTTCTTGTCTCCCCAGGCCCTGAAGCATATTCAAACACCTCTGTCCAGTGCTCTCCCCAGCTCCCAGCATCCTCTCTGCTGTTCAAGGCTGGCTGGGAAGTCGAGGTTTGCAGGTTTGAGTGGCGGGGCCTGGGAGGGACTTGCTTGTCAGTGCCCAGAGACAGAAGCAAAGGCAGCCAGGCGCAAGAAGCAACTGTAGGGGCCTCTGACCCCACTTTCCCCCAACCCTCCCTCTGTCTGGTGCCCCCAATTTCCAGTTCTTCCCACCCTCTTGCTGCTGTGCCTGGCCTTACCTCCCCACTGACACTTACGTCAGAACTCAGCTATAAATATGCTCTTCGTATCTTAGTCACTTTTCCCAAGAAGTGCTCCTGAGGTTATAAATACCCGAGCCATCTGCCTCGCGGCCTGCCCTACCACCAACCTGGGCCTGGGGTAGCGACAGGCTTGGGGGTGGGTAAGGAAGTAGGAGAAGCTGAACTAGCTGTCCTGCTCAGATGGGAAAAACCTGAAGGGGTGGAGAGTGAAGGGCTTGGAGGCTATGAAGGAGAAGGTTTGGAAAAAGGCCCATTCCCTCCCAACACGACAGAGGGCAGAACTCAAAAAGAACGCGACTAATACTGATCTTCCGTTTATTCGATAAGTTGGCTATTTTGTGCCAATTCTATTTTTGTGCCTTCTCTTTTTTTATTTAAAAAACAAAACAACTTGCATGACAATGTCCTTCATGAGGAGGGCTGCCTTTTCTCGGCCTGGCCTGAAACATCTGGCCTCTGAGGTGAGGAGGGCCTCACGCCACCACTCCCCCATCGTTGGCTTTGCCCTAGAGACTCAGGTGGGGGTGGGAGGAAGGAGGTTTGAGTTGGGAGACCCGGGAGGCACTAGGAGGGAGAGCAGGATGACACTAGCAGACTGCATACCACCCACAGCTCAAGCGCGTGGCCCTCTGGCCCACAGAGGTCCCTTTCGGACTTTCTTCTTTGGGTGCCTCTTCTGGGGACCTTTTATCCTGGCCCAGAGTGGGTTTTGAGTTAAGCAAACACAGACAGCACGTTCTCCAAAGGTCACATGGGCTTTGCGCAAACTCGGCCTTGGCTGCAGACAATATCGACCCCAGGGTTCAGGGCTGTCCAAGCCAGGGAGGAGACAGTGGAGGAAGGAGGGCAAAGGTGAAGAGAACCGAGTCTCAGAGCACATGCCCCCTCGCCTCATCTCAGGCCTTCCTCTTTCCCTCCCTTCCCGGTACAAGTGCCCCTTGGCCAATTCCACTTTCCAGGCAGGAGTCTTGGCTGGGGGGTCAGCTGGAAGCTCTGCTTCCGCCTCCCGCCAGGCACGGGCCCACAGGTTGTGGGCTTACTTGCGGAGGGACCAGAGGTTTGTCTTATCCGTTGGAGCACGTGCTTAGGGAGGAGAGGAACAGCTAAAAACGCCGGGTCTTTATCAGCCACGAGAGAGTGGAGGGAGTCTAAGAACGAGCAGGAGGCAGCAAGGAGGAGGAAGAGACATAAAGTGCGAGGCGGAGAGATGCAATAGCTCAGCCTAGAGGCCAGCAAGTGGTCAGGGCAGGCGGGTTCTGTGTCACCTGGGTGTCAGGCAGGGTCCTGGCAGGAGACAGGGGACATGCTCAGCTGTCTAGGTTTGCTTCATTAAGAGGACTTAGTGAAGGAACTATTTACCGAGGGGTTATGAGAAACAACCAAGGATGTCGAAACACCCAGGGACAAGCAAGAGCGGAAAGGCGTTATGACCTCTACCTTTGAAGGGGTGATAATAGAACTTCAGCAGAGCTGGAGCCATGGAAGAAGCAAGCCAAATAGGAGCCTCAGGGACACAGCCACAGCCACCCAGAACCGTGATGCCTAGGGAGGGGGAAGGGGGGCAGGAGCACCCTTACCTCTGTCTCCCTTTACTCAAACACTAGGAAGCCAGAAGGCAAGGGAGCTCAGGGGACAGGTCTGGAGAGTCAGCACTCAGGGGCATAGAACAGAGCAGAGAAGGGCCAAGAATGGTTGGAGGTATGCAGAGGGAGCATCTGTAATATTAAGTTAAATGTGTGGGGCGGCGTGAGGGGCCAGCCCCCGCCCACTGCTACTACTACCCACAGGTTCAGTAAGCACAATTGTACGCTTGAGATATATAAGTATTATATTAAAGTCATC